ATTGCCTTGAATGCTCATGATTTATTTCTGTACCTACAGACTCTCTATTCTCTCCTTACAACAAATGTTATGCTCATCAGCCTGCAATCTGCAGCACTTGTAAACACCCACTTTTGTTGTATTCCAACAACAACAACAACAACAAGATTCCATTTATAAAGCGCCTTTCACGTCAGGAGGACGTCCCAAGGCGCTGCACAGTTGGGTCATGACCCGAGCATTGGGGGGAAATGGTCAGGGTGAGGGGAGGGAAGCGAGGGAGCGAAGAGGGGGGAAATGGTCAGGGTGAGGGGAGGGAAGCGAGGAGGGGGGAAATGGTCAGGGTGAGGGGAGGGAAGGGAGGGAGCGAGGAGGGGGGAAATGGTCAGAGTGAGGGGAGGGAAGGGAGGGCGCGAGGAGGGGGGAAATGGTCAGAGTGAGGGGAGGGAAGGGAGGGAGCGAGGAGGGGGAAGAGAGTCGAGAGGGGAGCTGAAGGCTCGGTCAAAGAGAATTCCACTTGATTAGTCTGGTCCTGTCAGATCTGGTGCCACAATATAATGTAATAAAATAATAATGATATAGCACCTTATCACATCTTCGAGACATCTCAAAGCCCTTCACAGAATATACTGTAAAGTGTAGTGACTGTGTATTTTATGAACGAAATGCGGCAGCCAATTGCGCCCAGCAGCGTCTCACAAACAGTCGCGGATTGAGTGACCAAATTATTATTATTATTACTATTTTTTTGTGTGGAGCGATTATTACCCCCGGAAAGTGATCCACGAATCGACTAACAATCAGGTTTCTGTTTCCTGCTGGTAAACAGAGGCGTGTGGAGTAGGGAAACTTACCTAAGGTTTTGCCCTGACTGGGAATCGAACCCGGGTCCTCTGGCTTGCGAGGTGAAAGCTGTAACTACTGAGCTACAGGACTCCACAACTCCACACTGTTTAACAGCCAGCTCTAGTGTTAGACTGAGCTCATTTTGGCACTTGATTTTTGTGCTCAGCCATAAAAGGTAATTTATCTGGTTAATAATACAGGTAATTAATCATATTTATTGTACATTATTGAATCCTGTATTATACCAAAACACAAAAGAAAGTCTACTAAATCATAAGAAATGGCAATATGATTTAATTAGTTCATGGTCCCCTATTCAAACATAAAATTCATCAGAATCATTTATAGACCATTGAGAACAGGCTAGTATTGGTCATTCAGATGTTCATGCTGCCCTGATCCACCGCAGCAGGTTCTGTGAATGCAAGTTTCAGTGTGGATTAATGTTTTGGTGCTTGGCTCAGTAGATTTCATCCTTTCACAATTTCACAAGCAAACCATCCCAGGACAGAACACAAGGCTGACATTTTCTGCCGTCCCTATTCCTGATGATTTTGACTTCATAATTCAGTTCTGAAGCTGTATGATAATCAGTCCGGACACTTTCAAAAGCATCAGAACCATTACTTCTCAACAACCACCAAAGCCACTTGAATTAGACAAAATTGTACTTTTGGGAGCAAAAGGCAAAGAGCTTTACAAGATGATTACAACACAATAAACGGTGATGGTTAATTACACCCAGGGAATGATTGAAGATACATCATTATCCTGTCGCTTACTGGTTAGTGCACTTGCCTCGCAAGCGAGAGGTCCCAGGTTCGATTCCCAGGCAAAGGTGAAACACACTGTGTGCAACTGGATGCTTCACCCACAAAATATACAGTCACTTACTTTACAGTTTACCCTGTGAAGCACTTTGACATGTCTCGAAGATCTGATAAGGGGCTACATCGTATGCAAGTATTATTATTATTATTATTGAGTTACACAATCCAAATCAAATTCAATCATAAATTCTATTCTGTTATGGTTTAATATTTTCTTGGTTTTATTTGCTTTTGGAATTTCTAATGATATGAATATTATGCCTGCCAAAATATTTGCTCAAGAAAATAATATATAAGAACACTTTGATTCACGGCAGGAATTCACAGGAGGAAAGAAAGGGAAGGAAGAGAATAGCTTTGTGAAAAAAAAGTTTTATTATTTGGAGACATTATTTATATCATAAAGAAGAAAATACAGTAGGTATGTAGATACAGAAGAACATCAGTGTCAGTGAGGGAGGTTTTTATACACAGGGAATCTGGGTACACAAACTACAATTGACTGTGAAACTAATATGTGTCAAAGTATAAAGAAACAAGATCCTAACTGAAGACCATCCATTGAAACAGAACAAGAGTTACTCGTCATTTACCGGTAAATTTCCAGACTAATACTATCTCAACTCACTAGCCATCATGGTAGCCACAATTTAATGCTGCTCTGCTCTGAATGTAAGATACCCTGATATTCAGTAACATTCAGACCCTATCATATTCATAGCTGTGAAAGACACTGACATATCTACATTGAAATGAACTGAGATTAAATCATTCACATTGCTCTCAATGTTTTAAAACCATCGTTATCCAGTTAGGGTGAATCACACTGAAACAGGACAGAATACATGTCAGTTAGCAGAGCTGTTATTTTTGTAGAGCTGAAATAAAACAACAACAAATTACATTTGTATAGCGTCTTTCACGTCAGGAGGATGTCCCAAGGCGCTGAAAGATGTGACTCCCAAAACGGGAGTCGAACCCGGGCCATCTGGGTGTCAGAGAATGAAATGCTCATTTAAAGAAAATATACTTTGATGAATGATGAATAATAGTAATCATCCTTGCATTTGATATAGCCCCCAATCACATCTTCAACAAGTCTTCAGTCCCACCGCTTTGTCCAGCCTTCCAGAAGCTTCTCACTGTGTATTTCATGGCTTCTCTCCCTACATGAGATCATGTCACAATCACATAGGAATAAAAAGCCATAAAGCACAGGAGCGAGTGAATCTATCTTCATCAGTTGTGACATCAATCACTTTCCCCCACGCTTTCATTTCCTCTTTGAAAGTAATGAGTAATTTCATGCCACATTACAGAAGATTTCAAACCACATACGGTGTTAATATTACAGCTGGAAAAGGAGCTCAAACCTAGCAGAAACTGAGCCACTTAATGATGTTCCAACAGTTACACAACTCACATTCGACTTTCAGGATCTCACCAGTTTTATTCTTGATAAAATGTCAATATGAATATTCTTGGACAGAACGAGGTAAAGACAAATCAAAGAATCAGCAAGAAGTTCAAAGCACGTCTCAAGATCCTCCTCTTCGACCGCGCCTTCAGTCACCCTCCTACCCCCACCTTCCTGTCCTCCACCCCTCTTGATCCCAACCCCCAGCTCGGGTCCATATCCCTGACTGTCCAGCGCCTTGGGATGTCTTCCTGACGTGAAAGACTCTGTAAATGTCCTGTGTTGTTGTAATCAAAATGTATTTTCTCCAACACTCATTCCTTCCCAGAATCTGCAGACCATCTGCTAAAGTGTCTCAGTCCTCTGTTCAGCAAACATTGAGGGGCTTTGACACCCCAAGTCTGATCACCTGGACACTGTGCATAGTTTTCTGCTAATCTTATTCATAGAGTCTTACAGCACAGAAGGAGGCCATTCAGCCCATTGTGCCTGTGCCGACTCTTTGAAGGAGCCACCAGCTACTCCAATCCCCCGCTCTTACCCCACAGCCCTGCAAATTATTCATTTTCAAGTACCTATCCAATTCCCTTTTGAAAGCTATTATCAAATGTGCTTCCAACAACCTTTCAGCCGTACATTCCAGACCGCAACAACTCTCTGAGTAAAAAAAACATCTCCATGTCTCCCCTCTGGTTCTTTTGCCAATTATCTTAAATCTGTGTCCTCTGGTTACCGACCAAACTACACGCCAGAGGAAACAGTTTCTCCTTATTAACCTTGAACGTTTACCTAATTGCTTAATCTAAAGAAATCCAAGGACCTATAGATCGAGCTGGGTGTAATTGTTATATTCTATTTTGCTTAAGCCACTGAGAGATTTGTAGAATTGATGTTCTCACAGAGTAGCAGCACAACACCTTCTCTCTGTTATATATAGCTGAGGTGCTCTCAAATGTTTGTAGCACATTCAGCAATCTGTCTCCTCCGAATGAGAGAAACTTGCCTTGGCTAGCCCACAATGCTGGCTGGCCGTGCGCTATTGTCAATGTCAATCACTAATCACTTTGCTAAAATTGCTTTTACGCTTAAAGAGGTCTGTGGGCTGTTTTAGGTGCAGCAAAGCCTTACATTGAGCTAGACAATGTGCATTTCTCTAGCAGACTTTCCACTTACCTGTCAGACCATTCATTCTCTGCTCCAAGTCCCACCATTGGATGCAAGATAAAAAGCACACGATAACCAGTGAGACACAGGCTGCAGTTAGCAATGCTCACACACAGAACTCAGGCAGTTACAGAAAAGCAAGTAGAAGGAGCAAGAGGAATGCCAGTAATAAATGGACTGAACCAGTGGTGCTATATACACAGTGTGGTCTCACACACAGTAGCACAACAACAATAATAATAATCCTTACATTTGATATCACGTCTCTGAGACGTCTCAAAGCGCTTCACAGGATATAATGTAAAGTGAATTGAATGTGTATTTTGTGGACGAAACACGGCAGCCAATTGCACACAGCAGCGTCCCACAAACAGCCGTGGATTGAGTGATCAGATTATTATTTATATTTTTATATTTATTTTTTAAGGGATTATTACCCCCGGAAAGCAATCCACCAATCAACTAACAACCTGATTCCTATTTGCTGCATATGGAGTAAGGAAGCTTGCCCAAGGTTTTGCCCTGACCGGGAATCGAACCCAGGTCTCTCGCTTGTGAGGCGAGTGCTCTAACCGCTGAGCTACAGGACTTCCACGATATTTCTATTTCAGCTCCTGATTTACCTGCTGTAGATTTTTTAAATTTCTGATTGGCAGCATGTTTTTTCTAGTTTGCTATAGTTTTTTTCACTGAGGGAAGGCAGGAGGAGGTGTTATAATGTGTTTCCGATGACTCAGCCTGGTACAAACTGCAGCAATAATCACCTCATGAAGCCATTTTTCCACCAGACCCCTGGCACTGGCTGGGATGATTCGTTGAACGAGCTCCACTTTCTCATTCTCCGCTGACTGGATGTGAGTTATCTCTTTGTCGGTGTTAAAGGTCAGTTGAGCGATCCCTTCAAAACATTTCTTGAGATGTGGCTGAACTCGAAGTGGGTCCTTTGTCTCTGACAGGATCTCCAAAAGTTCGTCGTTGGAGAGGAAGAAAAACCTGGAAACGACACACAAAATAAAGCAAAATCAAAATGAAAAACTAACACAAAGTCCAAATAATTGTTTTTAATCAGTTGATAAAATATTCTTGGTCTTTATTCCCTTGAGTTTAGCAGGTTGAGAGTGATCTGATATTAATAATAAAGGGATTCGATAGGGTAGCTACAGAAACTATTTCCTCGGGGGGAATCCAGAACAAGGGGGCAACGTTTTAACATTACAGCGAGGCCATTTAGCAGTGAAGTCAGGGGCAGTTTTTCACCCAAAGGCCAGTGGGAATCTGGAACTCTCTCTCTCCCACCCCCAAAACCCTGTGGATTATGGCTGCGGATCCATTCACATTGTCCAGTTTGAGGTGTTTGTCAGGTCCGGGGATCAAGGGATACGGGGCAAAGGCGGGTATTTGCAGTTGAGGTGCAGATCAGCCGTGAACTTATAGAATGGCGGGTCAGGCTCAAGGGGCTGAATGGCCTCCTCCTGTTTCTATGTTCCTATTTGCGCAGAATAGACAATTGTTGTTCTCGGTTACCGAGGAAAGAACAATCTCTTCTTTTCCAAGTATTCGTTGAGGCCTTTCTGAATGTCATCCAAAAGTGCTTCTGCTTCTCTCAGCTTGTCCAGCATGTGTGGCTGTGAGATAACCCTCATAGCATTGGGCTCCTTCACTGATTCCTTCATTATCAGCCTCCTGTGGTGTCAGACACAACAGCCTGAATGAGACAACTGGACCTCACAACGGGCCCCGCCAACGTTAATTGAAAATCTCCTTTGACAAAACAACAGTGTGATTTTTCTTGACTTTAAGCCTCGGCACGGTATTAATGCCGTGGTATAAAAGCCCAGCTGCTTTTCCCCCGAAATTAAAAGTTAAATGGAACGTGAAAAGCCCTGATTGTTCTCCCTGTGTGTGAGGCTGATTGTGAGCGAGGTACTGAGACTCACCAATCTCAGCTGCACTCCAGGTGCGTCCTTTGTCTCTATCATTTTTGTTCAATGTGTGTCCCCTCGCTGCCCTCCACCCCTCCTGATTCCAACCCCCAGCTCGGGTCCAAATCCCTGACTGTCCAGCGCTTTGGGACTTCCTCCCGATGTGAAAGACGCCGTGTAAATGTCATGTGTTCTTGTTTCACTGGTTACAAATTGTCAAAGAAAGTCTATGTTATTCAATTTGAGTTTTAGTTGAATTAATGCAGTTATTTTTGAGGAATCCAGTTTGCAGAACAATTAAATTGAAGCCACATAAAACATTGGACTGCAGGTAGGAAGAGAGACAAATGAAACTGAATATCTTACAGTACCATAATAATAACACTTGTGTTTAATGAATTAATATTACTATGTTACACCCATACACGCTCCCTCATAGACTGGAATACAAATAACAGAGATTATTGTCTTTCTTTCCCTCCCCAAATCAATCCAAACTTGGTGTCTATTTACTATAAAAAGAAAGCTTTACCAGTTCCTGTCAACCACCTCGAACATCTTCCCCTCCACTGGGATCTGGTTGCGAATGTCCTCAGACCCGAATATCGGCTCCAGGTACAGCCAGGCCATCTGTACCCTCAGCCAGGATTCCAGGATGTTGTGTGTCAGCCACTGTGGGAAGAAGTAATAATAATAATCCTCACATTTGATATAGCGCCTTATCACATCTTTGAGGCATCTCAAAGCGCTTCACAGGATACATTGAAAAAGTTCAGTGACTGTATATTTTGTGGGCAAAATGCAGCAGTCAATTGTGCACAGCAGCGTCCCACAAACAGACATGGATTAAGTGACCACATTTTTTAAAGAGATTATTACCCCCAGAAAGCGATCCGCCACTCAACTAACAACCAGGTTCCTACTGACTGCTGGTAAACAAAGGCGTGGATGTGTGTGTGTGGAGTAAGGAAACTCGCCCCACATTTCGTCCTACCCGGGAATCAAACCCAGGTCTCTCGCTTGTGAGGCGAGGGCTCTAACCACTGAGCTACAGGATTCCACAAATACTGTATAATGAGGGCCATCAAGTCTTTTGGTACAAATTAGATAGATAAGACTAGATAGATAGATAGATAGATAGATAGATAGATAGATAGATAGATAGATAGATAGATAGATAGATAGATAGATAGATAGATAGATAGATAGATAGATAGATAGATAGATAGATAGATAGATAGATAGATAGATAGATAGATAGATAGATAGATAGATAGATAGATAATAGATAGATAGATAGATAGATAGATAGATAGATAGATAGATAGATAGATAGATAGATAGATAGATAGATAGATGATAGATAGATAGATAGATAGATAGATAGATAGATAGATAGATAGATAGATAGATAGATAGATAGATAGATAGATAGATAGATAGATAGATAGATAGATAGATAGATAGATAGATAGATAGATAGATAGATAGATAGATAGATAGATAGATAGATAGATAGATAGATAGATAGATAGATAGATAGATAGATAGATAGATATAGATAGATAGATAGATAGATAGATAGAAGATAGATAGATAGATAGATAGAGATAGATAGATAGATAGATAGATAGATAGATAGATAGATAGATAGATAGATAGATAGATAGATAGATAGATAGATAGATAGATAGATAGATAGATAGATATAGATAGATAGATAGATAGATAGATAGATAGATAGATAGATAGATAGATAGATAGATAGATAGATAGATAGATAGATAGATAGATAGATAGATAGATAGATAGATAGATAGATAGATAGATAGATAGATAGATAGATAGATAGATAGATAGATAGATAGATAGATAGATAGATAGATAGATAGATAGATAGATAGATAGATAGATAGATAGATAGATAGATAGATAGATAGATAGATAGATAGATAGATAGATAGATAGATAGATAGATAGATAGATAGATAGATAGATAGATAGATAGATAGATAGATAGATAGATAGATAGATAGATAGATAGATAGATAGATAGATAGATAGATAGATAGATAGATAGATAGATAGATAGATAGATAGATAGATAGATAGATAGATAGATAGATAGATAGATAGATAGATAGATAGATAGATAGATAGATAGATAGATAGATAGATAGATAGATAAGTTGTGAAGGCTCCTTAGGCAGTTCACAAGCTGGTTTGTAGTGAAACATTCTGGGAAAGGAACTCCTTCGCACAACCAACAACCAGCATTGTTCCCTGTGTTCCAGCTCAGGGATCAGAGTGAAGTGTGAGCCAAGTGGCTTCTCAGTGGGTCTCACTTGGCTGACTCCCTGCCTTGCTGAGCGACTGACTGTGTCAATGTAGTTCAGCCTCTCGGGATATAAAACTAAAGCAGCTTTGATTTAACAGTTTGTGTTTCATTGCCCCCCCCACCCCCACTTTCTCCCCACAACACCGGCTGACTGAAGCATTAGCACTCAACTTTGAAGAAGTTTGCATTGAATGAAACTTTCCAAAGCATGAACTGCGAGAGATAGCAAAATAAAACCATTGACTAAGCCGTGGGATGGAACCAAAATCTCGACACTTAATTAAATTCAGCCGGAGCCTCCTCTCCAAAACCAACATACCAGCTTGGCCTCCCAGGCTGAGATTTCTTTCTCGAAGGGTTCAATAAACGGAGAACCTTTCATGGTGTTAGTTTTCACAATGTGATCTTCAAGTAAAACCTAAACGAGAAATAGATTAGAGGCGTGGATTCCAGCTGTGACTGAAAAGCACAGGTGATCTTGCACTGGTTAATGATTGAAACATATTTTTCCTCATACATACTGCACCTGAATATCATCAAGCGCTGTGAGCACACTGATGCCAGTGTCCTTGTAAAGGACGAATGTAAAGTTCACACGTTGCCAGTCTCTCTCCATCTTGCCCAGGGCCTTTTCCAGTGCGTACTGTTTGCTGGCTTGGGAGCTAATTTGGCTTAATTCCTCCAAGTGCTTCTCAAGGCCCAACTGCAGGACTTCCATGAGTGACGTGCTTTCCTGGGGAGTGATGTTGAATCCCACCTAGAAACCAGACAAAAAAACTCCTTCATAATAAATAAATATATTATCATTTTAAATATCCAGCCGCCGTTTTCACAGAAATTCTTTTCTGCGGCTACAGGATAGATTTGGTACAAAGCAGTGATTTAATGTACAAAGAAAAGATCACAAGATCATGTTGTTTGTTGTATTTTTTTGAAAGCGTATTACAGCGGTACTTTTAGATTGTTTGAAACATTAAAGTAAGATTTGCTAACATGTCTCTATTGTTTTTTTGTAACCCAGAGAGTCTAGTGTTTTCTATTACAGGAAAGAAAATAATAATGATAATAATAATCCTTCCATTTGATAGAGCCCCTTATCTCATCTTCGAGACGTCTCAAAGTTCTTCACAGGATCCACTGGAAAGTGAATTGACTGTGTGTTTTGTGGGTGCAACTGATTGCGTACAGCAGCGTTCCACAAACAGTCATGGATTGAGTGACCACATTTTTTAAAAGAAATCATTACCACCCGGAAAGTGATCTGCCAATCAAATAACAACCGGGTTCCTACTGACTGCTGGTAAATAGGTGTGTGTATGTGGAGTAAGGAAACTTGCCCATCATTTTGCCCTTCCCGGGAATCACACCCAGATCTCTTGCTTGTGAGGTGAGGGCTCTAATCACTGAGCACTCTCGCTCACTCTCCCCAATCTTGTTACCAGTTACAAGGTGCAAGAGGGTCAGCAATAAGAAAAAGTTGACATTCTAATCATGACCTGTTTAAATGTGGAAAGCCTGTGCTGTTGAAAGGATTATGACTGATGTTCCTCCGCCATTCCGTGGTGTCATGTTACTAACTGACGATCACAGGCATGAAAAGCTCCTCAGTTCATTCTCAATACCCCCCATTGTTCACTTTCTTACCCACCAGATTCTCAATGACTTGGCTGAATTCTGCACTGGGAACAGTTGAAACCGTACACGTTATGAAGCAGTCAGTGTGTCTGTCTCTGGTTATGACAGCACTCATCCCTTGCTCCCTTTCTGATTTTTAATAACTTGCATGTATATAATGTTTCACCCACAAAACCACAACGACTTGCATTTACACAGCGTAGCTTCCCAGAGCGCTTGACAATGGCGGAGTCTGACGCCGAGCCAGAGGGAGAGGGGAGTTGAAGGTGGGGAGGGAGGGCCAGCGGCGGCACAAAATACAGTTTGGAAAGCAGCCAAAATATTGACAGCCATGATAACTTAATTGTTGCTGATGAGCTAATTGCTGAATTATATCCAGAGTTCAATTCGGGTGGATGTGCCCTTTTCTCTCACAAAATATACAGTCAATTCACTTGACAGTATATTCTGTGAAGTGCTTTGAGACGCCTCAAAGACGTGATAATATGAAATGCAAGGATTATTGTCAGTATTATTATTAAGATGACTTTCAAGCATTCAACAGGTGGAATGTTCCTTTGGGTTCAATCACTGCAGCACATGGTGTGATTTGAAAGAGTTGCTGGAAACTTTACAAAGCATTTCATACTCAGGCACAGAAATCTGATGGCTCTCATGATGGGACTGACCCAACCAGGCAGGTGGGGAGGGTAGGGTTAGGAGAGTGAGAGAGTGAGGGGGTGGGGAGGGTGAGTTTGGAGGGTGGGGAGGGTGGAGTTAGGAGAGTGGGAGAGTGGGAGGGTGGGGTTGGAGGGTGGGGAGTGGGGTTGGAGGGTGGGAGAGTGGGAGGGTGGGGTTGGAGGGTGGGAGAGTGGGAGGGTGGGGTTGGAGGGTGGGAGAGTGGGAAGGTGGAGGGTTGGGGTTGGAGAGTGGGAGGGTGGGGACGGTGGGGTTGGAAAGTGGGAGGGTGGGGAGGGTGGGGTTGGAAAGTGGGAGGGTGGGGAGGGTGGGGTTGGAGAGTGGGAGGGTGGGGTTGGAGGGTGGGAGGGTGGGGTTGGAGAGTGGGAGGGTGGGGTTGGAGAGTGGGAGGGTGGGGTTGGAGGGTGGGAGGGTGGGGTTGGAGGGTGGGAGAGTGAGAGGGTGGGGTTGGAGGGTGGGAGAGTGAGAGGGTGGAGTTGGAGGGTGGGAGAGTGGGAGGGTGGGGAGGGTGGGGTTGGAGAGTGGGAGGGTGGGGTTGGAGGGTGGGAGAGTGGGAGGGTGGGGTTGGAGAGTGGGAGGGTGGGGTTGGAGGGTTGGAGAGTGGGAGGGTGGGGTTGGAGGGTGGGAGAGTGGGAGGGTGGGGTTGGAGGGTGGGAGGGTGGGGGGTGGGGTTGGAGGGTGGGAGAGTGGGGTTGGAGAGTTGGAGGGTGGGAGAGTGGGAGGGTGGGGTTGGAGGGTGGGAGAGTGGGGTTGGAGAGTTGGAGGGTGGGAGAGTGGGAGGGTGGGGTTGGAGGGTACTGTATGGAGGATCTGACTTTTTTCTCGCAGAAGCAATGAAAGTCAAGCAGAACGTTTCTGCACAGTGTGTTTAAGGCCACAGAGTAGAATGAGCACGAGGATAAATCAGAATGACTGGTTCCCAGGTGATTGTCTGCCTGTCTTTCTGTCTGTCTGTCTATCACAGTTATGTGGGGAAGAGCAGGAGCAGAGATACAGTGCTTTGTGAGCTGAACATTTGGGCAGTAACGTTAACAGTGAAGGGAATTGCACAGAGATGAGTGGGGAGACATCCCGAGGAAGATAACACAGCAGGTTCCCAATGAGGATTAGGCCCACGAGGGCTGAAGATTTTAATTAAAAACTGATGGAAGGTGCCAACATGTTGTGGAGCCTGAAGATTTTTATTCTGATATGTCTGACTATGTGTATTAAATCTGCTCAGATTAACAGAATGAGCCTGAAAGTACGGACAGTGTAGATATATATATAAACTGGGTCAGGAGGTTCCACTTGCTGACTTGCTTGGAGTAAAGTATTTTCAAGCCTCAGTAATCTGAGAAGCAAATCACTCAGGGAATAGCGAGGTGGAGCAGAGGGGAATAGGAGCGGTGGAACAGAAACAGTAGCACAGACTGGTGAGACCAACATCTCTCTGTGTAGCTCTCACCACCTCGGTCAGTAACCATGTGAGGAGTAGGTGGGGAGAATATGGGGAGAAGATTAAGGAGTAGGTGGGGAGAAGGTCTCGCTGAAGCTTCACTGTACACTCAGGCAAGGGAGGGAGACCTCAATTGAAAATGTTTGATGTGGACCACAATTATGTGCAAAATATTTCATTCCCTTTGATCTGCACAAACTTCCCCCCCACCACCCCCCACACGTACTTCTTGAAAGCAAAAGATGAAAGAGAAGTGGATTCATTCCCTCCTCCTGACCCCTCACCCCCCACCCCCATCTCCATTGGGTCTCTGACTTGGCAAACTATACATTCTAGTTATGGTAAAGGCGATTTCTGCACGTTAATAGTTGACTGAAAAGATAAGGGAATGGAAATGTTAATGAGGTGGTTCCCAGTTTGGAGCTCTCTCTATCATGTGGTGCTGTTTATTTTTGCCCATTTTTTTCTCTATCACAGTTATGTATTTACTGCTGGCCACACAGCGTGAGGACATACACAGTTCAGTGAATGGTTAATTTGGTATGAAATGAACCTTACATAAAAAATGAACCAGTACGTAATTGGATCAGGATAATATGCAGCTTGAAGCTGGACAGCAAAGTCCTCTCTTGCTGAGGTGCGGAGATTTGATGACTTCTCCTTAACACTTCTCCAATGTGGGCTTTTCCTTACCAGAAATGAATAGACTTATAATAAATAATTAATTAATCCTTGCATTTTGATATAGAGCTTTTCACGTCGGGAGGATGTCCCAAAGCGCTTCACAGAACACACTGTAAAGTGAATTGACTGTATATTTGTGGGCGAACGCGGCAGCCAATTGCGCACAGCAATGTCCCACAAACAGTCGTAGATTGAAAATGACCAATTTATTATTGTTTTTGGTTTTGGAGGATTATTATTAGGCTCTGTGTGGAGTAAGGAAACTTGCCCAAGGTTTGGCCCTCTGCCTGGAATTGAACTCAGGTCTCTCACTTGCAAAGCGAGTGCTCTAACCACTGAGCTACAAGACTCCACTATAATAATAATAACAACAATAATACTTACATTTGATATAGCGCTTTATCGGGTCTTCAAGACATTTCAAAGGCTTCACAGAATATACTGTAAAGTGAATTGACTGTGTATTTTGTGGGCAAAACACAATTGCGCACAGAGCGTACCCACAAACAGTCGTGGATTGAGTGTCCAAATTATTATTATTTTTTTGAAGGGACTATTACCCCCGGAAAAGCAATCCACCAATCGACTAATAACCGGGTTCCTACTGACTGCTGGTAAACAGAGGCGTGTGTATGTGTGGAGTAAGGAAACTTGCCTAACATTTCATCCTGACCTGTCCCACCCGGGAATCAAACCCAGGTCCTCTCACTTGCTGGGTGAGTGCTCTAACCACTGAGCTACAGGAATCCAGGAGTTATCACACTATTTGGGCAACATTTCATTATTTCAGATAGAATTAGCGTAGAATACCTTTTGGCTCATCTGGCTCCAGTGCCGGGGTTTAACCCCGGGGGTGCACAGGGCATTGATGAGCGGCAAGTTGATTTTGAACTTCTCCAGTTTAGTTTTGATTGTGGCGGCCACTCTCAGGGGCCCGAGCAAGTCCGGGTGATTGAAAACCTTCGTAAGTTTGTAACTCGTCTTCCATATATTCTGCACCTGATGAGAAAACGTTACAGCAGAAATGGATGTGTCTTTATGATTAGATGCCGGGGATTAACTGATCAATTTTACCCTTGACTGACTGCAGTTTTCAGCGCTTATAATAAGTGGAATATTAACCAGAATTGATTCCACTCTCACACAAGCCATTATCCATCCAGATGCCATTTCAGATTTTGTCTTCCCGAGAACTCGACTCTCGCGCACAGTTTGAGACCTGATGTTATCTGAAACGTTTTCGATTAAAATTGAAAGTGGGTGGCAGTTTAGTAATAATAACCTTGGCATTTGATACAGTGCCTTATAAGATCTTTGAGACGTCCCAAAGCGCTTCACAGGATACGCTGTAAAGTGAATTGACTGTATACTTTGTATGTGAAACGCAGCAGCCAATTGCGCGACGCAGCGTCCCACACACAGCCGTGGATTGAATGACCAAATTATTATTTTTTGAAGGGATTATTTTCACCCCTTGAAAAGTGATCCGTCAATCGACTAACAAGCAGGTTCCTACTGATGCTAGGTGAACGGAGACGTGTGGAGTAAGGAAACTTGTGAGCAAGTGTTCTAACCACTACACTACACTACAAGACTCCTTAAGTGTGTATTGTACATGGAAGCAATATATTTTTCCATGATAGAATCAGTCAAGGCAGAATGTGCATTGCTACACCCTGGAACCTTACATTAACAGAGGAAGAAAAAACAAAAGGCAAAATACTGCAGATGCTGGAAATCTGAAATAAAAACCGAAGTGGCCGGGCACACTCAGCAGGTCAGGCAGCATCTATAGAGAGAGGAAAGTGAGTTAACGTTTCAGTTCTGATGAAAGGGCAACGACCTGAGACATTAACTCACTTTCCTCTCTCCATAGATGCTGCTGAGCGTTCCCAGTGCCGTCTGTTAAGAAAGAATGCTTGTTCCTAACCTCTCGTTCAACCTCTTCTGCGTTGACTTGCAACAGAGAGCCGTTTAGCCACTTGTCATAGTGTGTGTTGAACTGCACAGCAGTTTTCCACAGTCTGTCGAAGGGCTCCTTACTGTTGATAATGTTCTGGATTTGGGGGTAAGGGCTGATGTATCCTGTCTCCAACAGCACCTCTTCACGGTTGATCAGGGCTTTCTGAGTGAAGATAATGGAAAATTGGTTGATATTAACAATTTATAATAATAAATTTATAATAAATAATAATAATTTATAATAAATAAACCGAAAACAGCACTAAAATACACCACCATACGTTTAGCATTAACTTGGTCTTTGTTCCATGTATAGAGAAATTATGTAATAATAATCCTGGCATTTGATTCAACGCTTTATCACATCTTCGGGACATCTCAAAGCGCTTCACAAATAAACTGTAAAGTGTTGTGACTGTGTATTTTGTGGCAAAACATGGCAGCCAATTGCGCACAGCAGTATCCCACAAACAGTCGTGGGTTGAGTGAGCAAATTACTATTATTATTTTTTGATGAGATTATTACCCTTCAGAAACGCAATCTGCCAATCGATGAACAATTAATATGTACTCAGTGTACAGGAATCTTACACTGTATTATTTATCTGTTGAACACACAGATCTGAAATAGATATTAAAAATGGCCAATGTATTCAGTTGAAACCAGATTTATAAAGAAAATACATTGGGTACTTCTGTATATTGAATCAAAAGGGCTTTCCATTTCCATTCCACAATGTGCTTTAAGTGGCTCTTTCACTAATCCCACTCTGCCTGGTATCAGCTAAAGGCAACACTTGACTCAGTTTGGGATTATCCAGGGATAACAGGCACAGTGAATCAACTACCAAAGAAATTAGGATTTCAAATTTAACCCTCAGTTTTGGTCCTACAATAATAATCCTTGCATTTGATATAAGCCTTTGTTTTATTATTTTTAAGGGTTGCCAAACTTGTCCTCTTTCTCAAACAATTCTGTGACAGGATGAAAAGGCAGATACCAAGGCAGCCTACCTCCTCAAGGAAGTTCTCGATTATTTTGTTAATCTCTTCCAGTTTGTCCAGACATAGCTGTGCTTCAGACATGCGATCCTTCCTCTGAAACTCCTTCACAATGGCTGCAGTCTCAGCGATGCGCCTGGTAAAGTCGTTATGCCATTGAACCAGTTTGGACGCTGCCAAATCATGCTCTCTCTGCAACCGCATCTCACTGAAATAATAACAATATAATAATAAAAATACAGCTCTTTATCAGGTCTTCAAGGCGTCTCAAAGCATTTCACAGAATATACTGTAAAGTAAATTGACTGTATATTTTGTGGGCGAAACACAGCAGCCGATTGCGCACAGCAGTGTCCCACAGACATGGGTTGAGTGACCAAATTATTAATTATTTTTAAAGGGATTATTACCCCCGTGGAAAGTGATCCGCCAATCGACTAACAACTGGGCTCCTACTTACCGCAGGTAAATAGAGGCGTGTGGGGTAAAGAAATTTGCCCAAATTATCATCCTTCCCAGGAATTGAACCCAGATCCTTCTCGCTCGTGAGGCAAGTCCTCTAACCACTGAGTTACAGGTCTCCACATGAAATGGGTGAGGTGGGGGGTGACTTACATTTCTTTCCTGATAAATGATATGCCACTCTTATCCATGTTTGCATTTAAATTGGACTGAATCGTTTCATTTCAGCTTTTAATTTCACAAGGGTTAATCATTTTACGAAAAGGTCAGACTTTAATCTGCAATAAAATTGCTACATCTCTAGGTATCTGGAGGACATTTATTGCACTACATTACCATCATACAACAGAAAACCTCACTTTCATTATACTTGGGTAATGTTCCCTCTCGCTCTCCCTCTCTGCTTTATCTTATGTAGTGCTAATACCAAACTCATTTCTACATATTTTCTAAGATAATCCTCATAAGTATCAGCCACTTTTGCTCCATATCCTGGCCACGTTTCCTACTCTGCTTTCGGATATTTTAAACTATACAAAGGCTGATGTCAGTGACAATTCTCAGTTTAGAATAATAATCCTTGCTTGTTGATATAGCATCTGATCACGTCTTTGAGACGCCACAAAACACTTCACAGAAATACACTGTAAGGTGTAGTGACTACATTTTGTGAGCGAAACATGGCAGCCAATTGCGCACAGCAGTGTTCCACACACAGTCGTGGTATGAGTGACAAAATTATTATTTTTTTTGAAGGGATTATTACTCTTTTAGCAACTTGCATTTATATAACGTCTTTCATGTAAAGACCATCACAAAATGCCAGGTACATACAGCGGAAATCACACTGAGCAGGGAAATAAATCATTTATAGATAGCAACCAAAGGCAAAAGCAGAAGAGTTATGTTCTAAGGCATTTTTCTGAAATGAGGGAAAGAGGAAGAACAACAACAACTTGTATTTACACAGCACCCCTCACACAGGGCAGCATCCCAGAGCACGACTCCGAGCTGGGGTGGGGTGGGAAGTGACTGTAGCCACGATCGAAGAGGAAGGTCTTCAGGCATGACCTGAAGATGGGGAAGGAGGGGGTCAGGCAGAGGGAGGGAGGGAGTGACAGAGTTTCAGGGCGTAGTGGCTGAATTGGGAATGGGTGTGCTGGACAGAATGGTTACCTGTTTCTAAGTATAGGGCCAATTCTCTCCGGCCAGGAAAAGGTTTTGCCATTCAGAAGGATGTCTTCCTTGGAGAGCAGAGAATGGTGCATGAGGAAAACTAGGTTCTCAGCCGCTGCCTCCAGCTTCTCCTGAAGAGAGAAATTAACCAGATTCAGCCACAAAGTGGAGTCCTGTGGCTCAGTGATTAGAGCCTTCGTCTCACGAGCGAAAGGACCTGGGTTTGATTCCGGAACAGGGAGAAACGTTAGGCAAGATTCCTTACTCCACACGCCTGTTTACCTCACAGTAAGTAGGAACCCGATTAATTCACTTTACAGTATATTATGTAAAATGCTTTGAGACATCTCAAAGACATATTAAGATGCAGTATCAAATGCGAGGATTATTATTGATTATTTATTACTCCCAGAAAAGTGATCGACTTACAACCGGGTTCCTACTCACCTCTAGGTAAACAGAGGCGTGTGGAGTAGGGAAACTTGCCTATGGTTTTGCTCTGCCCGGGAATCAAACCCAGGTCCTGCGGCTTGCAAGGCCAGTGCTGTAACCACTGAGCTACAGGCTCCACCTCATGCTCACAGTGTGACAGCCCTCCTCACCTGCTGACAGTAATAAAAAGGCCGCCTCATGTCTCATGGTTAAATTAAAACTAGACATTAAAAAATTGCACTTGTCACAAGCCACGCTACCCCCATTTATCCTCATTTTTTGTCAAGTACTGTATATGCCAGAGAGCTTCTCTTTCAACCACTGTTGCCACTACAGTCACCGTGACTGCACGTTAACAATATGTCAATGTGACATTTGAGCTCAGTAATCCAGAGATGTCCAATCAAAATGCAAAAATCAAATATCACAAGGCAACAGATTTTTTGAATTCTCCAGGTAACACACAAAGACGAAGATTCATTCAATAATAATAATAATCCTCGCATTTGTTATAACGCCTGATCACGTTGTCGACGTCTCAAAGCGCTTCACAGAATATACTGTAAAGTGAATTCACTGTGTACTTTGTGGGCGAAACGCAGCAGCCAATTGCGCACAGCAGCGTCCCACACACAGCCGTGGATTGAGTGAACCGCATTTTTTTTAAGGGAATGATTATTCATTCATTACTAATTAATACATTTGCAATTAATAATTAATTATTAGTTCATTAATCGCTCTGCACAATTGGCTGCCATGTTTCGCCCACCAAATATACAGTCAATTAATTTTACAGTACATTCCGTGAAGCGCTTTGAGACGTCTCAACACCGTGATAAGGCGCTGTGTCAAATGGAAGGATTATTATTATTAAATGTTTGTGACGTACAAGATGGCTTTGCATTTTCACACATTTTGTAATTTGCTTGGAAAAAGCGCACACTTGTTTTTAATTCAAGCTGAGAGGCAGCTTTGTGGTTCCTCTCTCTCCCTCTCTCTCTCTTTCTCTCCGCTCGGCACAGACTGACAACGGCAAAGGTTTAAGAGCAGATACAGACAATTTGCACCTCATTCTGTGTCGCTCCAGCGTAAACATCCATCAATGTCTGAGTAAAGAGCGGACAGACAGACGGACGAGCAATCAAAACATTCATCAAGTCAGGAATGGTACAGCTTTTCTCCCTCCTACCTTCAGCTCCAGTAACTCACGGCTCCTCAGTTTGTCCACGTAGCTTTGCATTTCCACCAGTTTCTGTGTGGAGCCTGCGATGCTGGTGATCTTTGTCACAATGCCCTCATAACGCTGGCAAATCCTCTGATTAAACTTCGCGGACACGCTCACAACTTTGCTGATTACGACATTCGCTAAGTGTCGAGCTTGATCCATCAGCCACTGTGAAGGGGTCGGATTATAATACACTCTCAGAAACCCCACCCAGGAGATAAACCTGACGCCTTTTCTTCTGCTTGTCACCGTGTCAGCTCGTCCTGATCTCTCCACACAAACAGCTCATGTCAGGTTTAGACTCCACAAGCTGGCAGCTATTCCTTCATCCCTCCCTCCCTCCCTCCCTCACCGTTATCAGGGAGACAAGCACTGTCACTGTCTCAGAGCAGGAGGATAATCAGGTGAATGCTACTTATTATCTCTCATTGCTTTCTGAGGAGTGACAAGATGGATTCAGGACCAAATCATGCACATTACGAACACAATTGCTGTAATTCAAGCCTGGATTAGGCTACGTATGCTACGTGAGAGCTTTGTGAGAGCTTTGTGGGAGCTTTGTGGGAGCAATTCTTCATAGTTTTTCTCTCTCAAGTGTTCTACATAATAATAATGATGATAATAATCCTTGCATTTGATATAACCCCTTACCATGTCTTCCAGAAGTCTCAAAGCGCTTCACAGAATATACTGTAAAGTGAATTGACTATATATTTTGTGGGCGAAACGTGGCAGGCAATTGCGCACAACAGCGTCCAAACAGTCGTGGATTGAAGTGACCAAATTATTATTATTATTATTATTTTAGGTCGCGCTTTCAGCCACTACGCCCCAAAACTCTGGAACACTCCCTCAATCCCTCTGCCTTGCCCCCTCTTTCCCCCTTTTTAAGTCCCGCCTGAAAACCTTTGTTTTCGACCGTGCTCACGGCCACCTCCCCCCCAGCCCCCCCACCCCACACCCCGGCTCAGAGTCAGGCTCCGCCACTGTTAAGCTCTGAGACGCTGCTCTGTGTGGGGAGCGCTAGATATGTGCAAGTAGTTGTACTATTTTGAAGGGAGTGTGAAGAGATGTAATGCTTTGAGAGAATAATCCTGGCCAGTTTTGCCCTCTCAGGTGATCTATATTAAAGTTCTGTGACATCAATCCAGACCCTGAAAAAATATTAACATTAAAATTGTGTTGTGATTCTGTGAATGGAAGGGCGAGTGTAGAGTGTTGTGTTGTCTGGAAGCCATCCAGCAAGGAGTGGGGTCTGTACAGTTGAGCCCAGTGAAACAGTCAGTTACCATTAACGAAAGGTCAGGGGATATCAGCATCCTCTCTGTGGGTAATGACACTTCTAGTTTAATTTACAGATCTCATTAATCTTCCCACAAAATCCCCCGCCAGATCATGAACGGGCTAGATTAGGGATTCATTCCAAAATGATTGATCCCCTTTAAGATATAAAATCATGCAATTTATAGAATTATTAATATTTGATAGGCCAAACCAAGGCCCTTAACCCAAGTATTTTATGCCCCTTTTCCCCCCACAAATTTTATAAATGAACCATAATAACAATAATCTTTGTATTTGATATAGCACCTTATCATGCCTTCGAGACATCTTTAAGCGCTTCGCAGAATATACTGTAAAGTGGAGTGACTGTAATTGCACACAGCAGTGTCCTACAAATGGCTGTGGATTGAATGACCAAATTATTATTTTTTTAATAAAAAGAATTGTTCCCCCCGGAAAAGCGATCCGCCAATCAACTAACAACCGATTTGCTACTGACTGCTGGTAAACAGTGGTGTGTGGAGTAAGGAAACTTGCCCAACATTTTGCTGTGCCCGGGAATCAAACCCAGGTCCTCTCGCTTGCGGGGCGAATGCTCTAACCACTGAGCTACAGGACTCCATGATGCGATCAATGTGTATCTGTAGTTCACAGATACCACAAGTAGTCAATGTGGATTTAGAATAGGTCATCCCTTACAGATCGACCAGAATTGTCTGAGGACGTGTGTGATGAGTATCTTGTGGATATAATTTACTTTGATTTTTAAAAGGTGATCGATGAAGTTTCACATGTTCCTACCCCTGTGACCTGCTAACCCCACACCGACCACTCCACCCCCTCCGCTCAGCAGGCTCCAGCCTGCTCCACATTTCCCGCCCGGCCTGTCCCACCATCAACGGTTGGACCTTCAGCCTATCTGCCCCCATCCTTTGGAAATCTATCCAAGTCCCTTCACCTCACCCCCTCCCTTGCCTTGTTCAAGGCACGTCTCAAGAACCTCCTCTTCAATTGTGCCTCCAACCACCCTCCCCCAACCACCCTCCCTGCCCTCCACCCCTCCTGATCCAAACCCCCAGCTCGGGTCCAAATCCCTGACTGTCCAGCGAATTGGGACGTCCTCCCGACATGAAAAGCTCTGTGTAAATGTCATTTGTTGTTGTTGTAAGACTTTGTTCGAGGAGAACTCACAGACGTACCTGGTTTACCTGGGAACAATCAAGCAGTAGGAGCTCCAATGGGACATGGACAGGGAACGAGGCCAGTTCTGTAGCCATGCCCCTCAGTCTCTCAATCTCTTTGCTGTAAGTGCTGAGGTTCAACTCTTTGTTGATAAAGACCTCAATTTTATTGCCAGTATCTGGGGTCAGCAGATATCTGTACGGTTCATAAACCGAGCAGTATCTGTCAGAAGCCAAGAAAATATACATAAAAATCAGGGAGGTACAATCATCAACAAACACAAACTCCCCCTCCCCAAATAATGACCCACCACCCACTTCTTCCTTCAGCAAGGACAACAAACAGACGACAACAACAACTTGCATTTATATAGCACCCTTCATGTAGGGCAGAGTCTCGGAGCATTTACAGATATATTTCACTTCTTGGCAACAAAGGAAATGCTACTCAGGTATTTGGAGTCCTGTAGCATTGTTATTATTATTATTATTATTACTATTATTATTTCTGCAGGTGTGACATCAACAATACAAAAGCCAGCAACAAACCCTAACTTTCAATAATTCTGTGTCGAGGACACACTTGTCCAGTGGTTTCATTTACGCTGCTGGGATCCAGCGTTAGATATCTCTGGCTTCTTGGCTGGCTGCCGGCTCGATGCGCCTGACACAGCAGTCTCAGTTATCATATCAGCCAGGGCGAGCCCTGTAACACACTTACCCTCAGGGAACGCTGAAATTCACTGCCTCTCTGTCGAGGGGAAGATAAACTGAGGGCACCTGTGTTTCTAGCTAAAACCCACCTTCTTTTGGCCAATAATAATAATAATAATCCTTGCATTTGATATACTACTTCATCACATCTTCGAAATGTCTCAAAACAATTCTCAGAATATATTGTAAAGTGAATTGACTGCATATTTTGAGGGCGAAACACAGCAGCCAATTGCACACAGCAGTGTCCCCACAAACAGTTGTGGATTGAGTGACCAAATTTGATTGATTGATTGATTGATGGGATTATTGACCCCAGAAAAGCAATTGCCAATCAACTAATAACCTGGTTCCGACTCACTGCTGGGTAACCAGAACTGTGTGGAGTAAGGAAATTGCCAACGTTTCGCCCTGCCCAGGAAACAAATCCAGGTCCTCTCGCTTGCGAGGCGAGTGCTCTCACCAATACACTGCCTATTTTAGACATAATGTGCAATGTTCTGTTTTATTCCCTAACACTGCACATTACGTCTAAAGTGTGTCAGATGCAATGTGTTCGCTTGCTGAAATTAATACAATCCAGTGAGCCTAATGTTAGTATCAAATAGCCTGATGATACAGTCAGAGCTCATTGTGCAGGAGCTGGGTTTAGAGAGGTTTAATACTGCCAGGATCTAAGCTATTCAGACAATAACTGGCTAGAATTATATTGGCTGATGTGCGGCACAATAGCAGGGTATCACGTTAGCAATCACATTTTATTCCAAAAGAGCTGCTTTTGAAAGCGAAATGACATTTCCATCATAAAGCGAGTTCTAGAAGCTTTTTTTTCAAATTGATGCACCATTTATTTCACAATTCAGCATTCATGATAACTGCTACACTCGGAATATTTTCTCTGATGTGTTGTGGTCGATACAAAGCCACTCGTGGTTTATGGCTTATAAGTTAAGTGATGTTTATGAATAATCAATCAATTAATCACAAAGGGTTACTATGTCTTCTACTTGCTCATTAAACAAATAATACTAATTTGGTCACTGAATCCACGGCTGTTTGTGGGACGCTGCTGTGTGCAATTGGCGTTTCGCTCACAAAATAACATTCAATTCACTTTACGGTATATTCTGTGAAGCACTTTGAGATGTCTCGAAGATGCGATAAGATGCTGTATCAAATGCAAGGATTATTATTATAAATAAATAAATTTAATGAATTAATGAATTAGAAAGGAAAATGGAATGAATGGCAAAGTGACACACAGATCACATCTCACAGAATCAGGTTAGTTCTCTGCTCACACCTGCTGCCTGATGTCTCTACACTGAATGCCCATCTCCGAGCGAGAGGACACCAGATGGAGAGATATTTCCCAGGAGATGCCAAACAGTTTTGCTCTAACATTTCGTGAGCGAATGCAAATGAACAGAGTGCAGCCAAGTCACACGGCACTCGGAAATTGTTATTACTTATTTATCTCAATACAATGATCGCGATGGGTTTCAACCTGTAGGAATTCTACCTAAAATCTACCCTTGGAATATAACACTGTATATTAATAATAATCCTGGCATTTGATAAAGCACCTTATCATGTCTTTGAGACGTCTCAAAGCGCTTCACAGAATATACTGTATATTTTGTGGGTGAAACACAGCAGCCAATTGCGCACAGCAGTGTCCCACAAACAGTCGTGGATTGAGTGACCAAATTATTATTATTATTTTTTGGAAGGGATTATTATCCCCGGAAAGTGATCCGCCAATCGACTAACAACCGGGTTCCTCCTGACTGCTGGTAAACAGAGGTGTGTGGAGTAAGAAAACTTGTCTAAGGTTTCTCCCTGCCCGGGAATCAAACCCTGGTCCTCTTACTTGTGAGGCGAGTGCTATAACCACTGAGCTACAGGACTGCACATCCCATTATGGACAATAAATGAAAGTGAATAACTTTATCCCCCAACATCAGCGAAACATAAATGAGCCAAAATAGAGAACAAAGTAAGTTGTAATGGTGTAATCTGTTGGCACGTCTTGTCATTCTGTAGCTATGAGAAGATATTGTACAGAAATTAATACAAATGGTAGGTGTATCTTACCTATACAGACCATGGCTATTGCTCTCAACCACAGTTTGTATTCTCGCTTTAGCAAACAAGACAATTTCCTCTTCAAGCTGAACCGAGCTGATATATTTGACTTCCAGGTTATCTACAGGCTGCAGGACAGATGTAGAAGTTATTGATAGTCATTCTTCCTGCAGCTGGCAGGTGGATTTGAAAGGCTTTAATAGCTGTTGGAGATACACTACAAGGCACATTTGTTGTGGCTGAACACACATTTCTGTTCAGTTAATATATATCACTATGTGAATGAATAAATTAATCAATGAATGAATGAAGCCAAAGCCCTAACAGTGGTCCTTGCTGGACAAGCAATGGGAAAGAGAGTGATATCAATGGCAAGCTACGTGTTTAGCTGGTTAGGGTTAGGGTTAGGCTCCAGCAGTTACCCCAATGCACACTCTGGGTTCCCCCCAAGCCTTGGCTCTTGCCAACCTGCGCCTAACACTCTCCGGAATTAGGTAAGCAGGGGGCATCCCTCCAGGAGGGGAGAGAGAGAGAGAGAGAGAGAGAGAGAGTGCATCCCATTCCAACAATCTATCTCTGGGATTGCCATGTATAGGTGGGACACATGGAAATCTCAGTTTGATTTGGAGACTCTTAAGCACGGTGATGGGTTTCCACAGGTGTCAGATACCCGACTGAGCAAAAAAACAAAATTACTGAATGAACAAATAAACAAGCAATAATAGTAAAATATTTAGATTTAAAACAGAACAAATTGATAAATATTCTGACATTGTTGATGATGACTTGTACAAATGTTTGACATAGTTGAAAATTACCTGAAAGAGCTGATGTTCAATTCTGGGGATCCATTGAACACTGACAACTAAAATATCCACAATATGGTTTAGTTTCTCCACCAATTCATCAATAGCCGGGATAAACCTGACACTAGAGGTTTCCACGTCAGGTTTCTATATATTCAAAAGACCAAATCAATACATAGAAGTCTTCATAGATTTACATATATTGTTATTTACAGTGTATCCTGTGAAGCGCTTTGAGACATCTCAAAGATGTGATAAGGCGCTATATCAAATGCAAGGATTAGTATTATTATTATAGAGTGAAGTTAGGGTAATTATTCTTAAGGATATTACTTTACTTAAATCCCCTGAACAACAGCATGTTGTGTGAGTGTAATTTAATGATAGGTTACTTTGTGCTTCACAATGATGAGGCGCAATCGCCAGAGAATGAAGACAAATATGTTCCACGTACACAACTGTCTCCCTAACTGCTTAATGAGGGCATATTCATTCTACGTTACTCTGGGAAAATATTATTAGGCATTAATAATAATAATATAAAATGCATTCATTAATGTGATTAATTCAGCATATGTGAAGTAGCACAAGATCGGTGCATTGTAAACAGTTCCCCTGCATGTAGCAAAGCACTAATCAATCTCAATTACAATCATGGAAATGCCATTTGTCATTTTTGCGGAGAAGAACAAATCAATATGCCAGTCGGGCCTGAAGAGGCATTTACTGCAACAGATTGTTGCCTCTTAAAGGGATTTCACTGGCCAACCGACAGTAACCAGCTAATTACAATCCTGAACTGCAATAGAACCATAAAATCATAGAATCTTACAGCACAGAAGGAAGCCATTCGGCCCATCTTGCCTGTGCTGGCTCTTTGGAAGAGCTACCGACTAGTCCTATCCCCCGCTCTTACCCCAACTAGCCCCACTGCCCTGCTCTTACGCCATAGCCCTGCACATTCTTCCTTTTGAAGCTCCTCTCCAATTCCCTTTTGAAAGTTATTATTGAATCTGCTTCCACCAGCCTGTCAGGCAGTGCATTCCAGACTGTAAGAACTCTCCGGGTAAAAACATTTCTCCTCGTCTGGTCTCCCCTCTGGTTCTTTTGCCAATTATCTTGAATCTGTGTCCTCTGGTTACCGACCCACCCACCAGAGGAAACAGTTTCTCACGATCTACTCTCAAAAACCCACATCATTTTGAACACGACTATTAAATCTCCCCTCAACCTCTACTCTAAGGAGAACAATCCCAGCTCACTACAGGAAAACAGCTAAAATATTAGGCTTTTAAACTCTGTGGCTTATCTGTGTGAATGTCTTGATAACCATAATCAACAGCAAGTTGAAAGGCTGGAAAAATGATACTTTACCATTAGTTTATATAATGTTTCTGATGGTGACTATTATGCGTGAAATGAAAGGACAAATGTAACAGCTTACAAACGTCAGATATCTTTGACAATCCGCACAAAGTCTATCAATAATAATAATCCTGGCATTTGATACAGCGCCTTATCACGCTGTTGAGATGCCTCAATGCGCTTCACAGAATATACTGTAAAGTGAATTGACTGTGTATTTTGTGGGCAAAACACGGCAGCCGATTGTGTACAGCAGCGTCCCACACACAGCCGTGGATTGAGTGAACAATTCATTTTTTTAAATTTTATTTTAGAAGGGATTATTACTCCCTGAAAAGCAATTCACCAATCGACTAACAACCGGGTTCCTACTTATTGCTGGTAAACAGAGGTGTGTGGAGTAGGGAAACTTGTCGAAAGTTCCACCCTGACCGGGAATCAAACCCGGGTCCTCTCACTTGTGAGGCGAGTGCTCTAACCACTGAGCTACAGGACTCCAAAATGGTAAGAGCGTAATTTTCCAGGTAATGTATGTTGCCTTACCTGCAGGACAGAGATTGAGGAAAAATACATGTCCATCATAACCTGCAAAAACCTTCAATGTTCAAAAGGACGATTCAGTTACATGACTTACCATGAATACGGTTAGAATGTGAGGCTTTACAGGAAGGCCCAAGGTGGCATCAGGATATTTTCCCTCATATTTATTTCCCTTGCGATATTCCTCAAACAGCCGCACTAATGTTAACAGTGACTCTTCCACCAGACTACGGAGAAGATTTGACATGAGAGTGGCAACACTGGCAAAGAAGCCATCCATCTTTTTCATTCTCAGCTCCTAAATCAACAACAAATTACATTTATATAACACCCTTCCCATTGGAGAATATCTGGGAGCGCTGAACGGTGGTGGGGTAATAATAATAATAATAATCCTTGCATTTGATATAGAGCCTTATCAAGTCTTCGATCTGTCTCAAAGCGCTTCACAGATTATACTGTAAAGTGTAGTGACTGTATGTTTTGTGGGTGAAATGTAGCAGCCAATTGTGCACAGCAGTGAGTGTCCCACAAACAGTCGCGGATTGAGTGACCAAATTATTATAAAGCAAATTACATTGAAGTCGGGGGAACATTATAGAATCATAGAATCTTACAGCACAGAAGGAGGCCATTCGGCCCATCGAGCCTGTGCCGACTCTTTGGAAGAGCCACCGACTAGCCCCACTCCCCCACTCTTACCCCAACTAGCCCCACTCCCCCACTCTTACCCCAACTAGCCCCACTCCCCCACTCTCACCCCAACTAGCCCCACTCCCCCACTCTCACCCCAACTAGCCCCACTCCCCCACTCTCACCCCAACTAGCCCCCACTCCCCCACTCTCACCCCAACTAGCCCCACTCCCCCACTCTCACCCCAACTAGCCCCACTCCCCCACTCTCACCCCAACTAGCCCCACTCCCCCACTCTTACCCCAACTAGCCCCACTCCCCCACTCTTACCCAAGCTAGCCCCACTCCCCCACTCTTACCCCAACTAGCCCCACTCCCCCCGCTCTTACCCCAACTAGCCCCACTCCCCCACTCTCACCCCAACTAGCCCCACTCCCCCACTCTTACCCCAACTAGTCCCCACTCCCCCACTCTTACCCCAACTAGCCCCACTCCCCCACTCTCACCCCAACTAGCCCCACTCCCCCACTCTTACCCCAACTAGCCCCACTCCCCTGTTCTTACTCCAACTAGTCCCCACTCCCCCCTCTTACCCCAACTAGTCCCACTGCCCCGCTCTTACCCCACAGCCCTGCACATTATTCCTTTTCAAGTCCTTATCCAATTCCCTTTTGAAAGCTATTATTGAATCTGCTTCCATCAACGTTTCTGATTTCTTTTGAAATTCTTTGGTTAAAAATGCAAGTTTAAGAAGTTGTCAAGTCACTTGAAGATGTCAGAAGAATCATTCAACAAAATCTACCTAAATGAATAAGCTGAATATGGTCCAACAAACTCCCAATTGTGCTGAGGCAATATATGTCAACTGTGCCAGACGTTAATATAATGTGATTCAATTAGAAGTTCTGCTGAGCATCGTTTATTTAATCAACTCAATTTGGACTCTAGTCACTCTTCTGCCTCCAACTGTACCTATGAGAATCATGGCTTATAATATATCTGTCAACTGATCCATAAATAATGACATCCCACTTGTCTGCCTGGGATATCACTTTGTTTAGTAGAAATGCCTTTGGGAAGATCGCGGGAGACAAGACAGGGTATCATATCATTCTGTGGGCTTCAGAATAAAAAACACACGAGGCAGATTGACATGTTTATATATTTTGTTAAATGTGAGTGAGTTTCCTCTGTTTACCAGCGGTTGTTAGTCGATTGGAGGATCGCTTTCTGGGAGTGATAATCCCTCAAAAAACAAAGGGTTCAATCAATCCACGACTGTTTGTGGAACATTGCTGTGCGCAATTGGCTCCCACATTTTATCCACAAAATATACAGTCAATTCACTTTATAGTGTACTCTGTGAAGCGCTTTGAAACTTCTCGAAGACGTGATAAGGTGCTATATGAAATGCAAGGATTATTATTATTATAAAAACAGAGAGCGTTTCTGATTTACCTCTTTATCTTGAGGCATCCAGGATTCTACCTTCTCCCTGTTGTCACCAATAATACAGCAACAGTCCGCCAACCACTGCTCCTGGAGACTGCTCACTCTGTGTCTCACATCTCTGGACACATGAGCAACTAATTGATCCACAGTCAGGGGGAAAACTGGAGCCAGTTCATCTGGTTCTAGCAATCGGAAGTCTCTGTACCTAGAACAGGAAGCTGCATGTTACCAGTGTAAGTCGATATTCTTCAAGCAAAGATCTTTTTTTTTAATTGGACTAATGGAATCGACTTGCAGAACTCACCCCATTGTGGAGCATTTAGACACCACAGGAATCAGTAATGAGGCTGGTAAACTTTACATTACATAGCAAATTAAATTATCTTCCTGAAAGTCAATACTTCTTTTAAACACAATAAGAGTCTTTAGGTATTTTCAATCTGTGATGAGGTTCCGACCTCTCAGCCATGTTAAACAACAACAACAACAAAATTACATTTGTATAGTGCCTTTCACGTCGAGAGGACATCCCAAGGCACTGAAGCTGTCTCTACACAAGAAGGGAGCTGTAAAGTGCTTACTTGGTCTGAAAGTGGAGAAGAATAGTGGTCATGATGGGATGGGTGATGTACAGAACATCCTTCAGCCTCTCTCGGGCACAGTTCACACTTTCATGCCAAGGAAACCTTTCTCTGCCTGCTGGGTGTGACGGCTGCAAAATAGAGTCGAAAATACCATCCAAGTGAATATATACAGTATAGTCAATAGCTGTACCCAATGCACAACACACCACAGGTACAACCCAAGCTACCCAATGGATAAGCCATCACTCTGGTGGCGTAAACAACAACAACTTGTTTATATAGCTCCCGTCTTTCATGTGATGGATCCTTTCCATACAACGAGGCCATTAACAGCATCTAACACAAGGTTTCAACAATGGTATACTATTACAGCTAAATAAGATTTTCTCTCCCATATTATAATAATAAACCTGGCATTTGATATAGAGCCTCATCACGTCGTTGAGACATCGCCAAGCGCTTCACGGAATACATTGCAAAGTGAATTGACTGTATATTTTGTGGCTAATATATTATCGTGGAGTCCTGTAGCTCAGTGGTTAGAGCACTCGCTTTGCAAGCGAGAGACCTGAGTTCAATTCCAGGCAGAGGGCGAAACCTCGGGCAAGTTTCCTTACTCCACACAGAGCCTAATAATAATCCCTCCAAAACCAAAAACAATAATAAATTGGTCATTTTCAATCTACGACTGTTAGTGGGACATTGCTGTGCGCAATTGGCTGCCGCGTTCGCCCACAAATATACAGTCAATTCACTTTACAGTGTGTGTTCTGTGAAGCGCTTTGGGATGTCCTCCCGACGTGAAAAGCGCTATATCAAATGCAAGGATTAATAATAATTAATATCCAGATAGTGGAAGTCTCTTGAACAGTGGCTTTATCCAATCAAACCTAACACAACATTTATTTAACAGAAAAAGATGAAATAATACAAAGCCAGAAAGGACTGACACAGGAAAAGATTTGCCACGAGCCAATAAACTGTCAGGAATGGCTCAATGGTTGAATGGCCTCCTCCTGTTTCTACATTCTTATAAGCATGAATTCTAAAGGTTCTGTGAAAGACACCAACAAACAGCCCAAAATGTGCTGCTGAAATGGTTGTTGGAACCGTGACCAGGGTCAGCCAGGCACAAACTACCTTCGCACTGAAACCGACTGGTCCACTTCAGTGTGATAGAAAGTTCTTGAGATACATCTTCAAAGTCTCTCTTTAATCTTAAATCCAAGTAAACAACAGGTTCAAAGCAGCTATTGTTCCTTGATCAGGTCTTTGTGTTGAGACCAGCTGCCTTCCTTAAAATCATCAGCCGCCTGCACTGTGCACGGAATTCTGTATGATGTGACCTCAATACAATATGTGAAGGACTTGCTCAGTTCCTAATCTTCTCAACAAAGTTTCCCAAACCGTATGGAGGTGCCAGATCTGTCAGAGCTTTTCAACAAGCTGTGGGTAACCTGCCTTAATAATAATAGTAATCTTTGCATTTGATATAGGGCCTCATCACGTCTTCGAGACGTCTCAAAGCGCTTCACAGAATATACCATAAAGTGAAGTCACTGTATACCTTGTGGGCAAAACCTGGCAGCCAATTGCATGAGTGACCAAATTATTATTTTTTTTTGTGCCAGAAAGTGATCTGCCATTCGACTAACTGCTGGTAAACAGAGGCTTGTGGAGTAAGGAAACTTGCCTAACGTTTCACCCTGTCCAGGAATCAAACCCAGGTCCACGACATGTCAGTGACTGCCAGGATTGGTGGAAGGTGAACTGGATGGACCTTGGTCTTCTTTTGTCCAGATGAGTCTTACATTCTTATGACCAGTTGGTTGCATAACTGGCTCTTTAACATTTAGAAACAGTTCCTAAAATTGGATCGTTCAAGAATGTTTGAGTGACAATTTCTGAACAGGGACCAAATTGATTTGTGTGGGGAATATTGTACTGCAGTGGCTGTGAATCAATTCACAACAAAGCCTACACTGCAGCAGACTGGAGAGCTGTAAATCAATGTGCTGATGAAAATCTCTCTCAGTGGCTTCTCAGCTTCTGGGCTCCAGCACCCACCTGGACTGAGATTGCCCTGCTCACCCCCATTACAATTGGCTGCTGCGTTTCACCCACAAAATACACGGTCAATTCTGTTTACAACAACAACAAAATTACATGTGTATTCTGTGAACCGCTTTGAGACGTCTCAGCAATGTGATGAGGCGCTATATCCGATGCAAGGACTATTATTATTATTAACATTGTTATTTCACAGTAAATCCCCATAAAAAGCACAACATTTCAAGGATTGTTATTGTAGCACCTTCACAGAGTAGCATCTGGAGTGTTTTCACAATGGGGTAGTTTGACACTGGGCCACAGAGAAAAGGGAGTTCAGCATTAAAGGCTGAAAGCCTCATTCAGCCTTAACGTGCTTTCCTGTATCTTAGAAATTATTATGTAATAAAAAACGTGAACTTCTTACCCACCTTAAGAGGCAATTCAACTGCGAGTCTTTCCTGTTCTTTTGGATCCAAAAGGATGTAGTTAAGTATGGCTTTCTTTATGGCTCCAACATACACATCTTGTATCTCCTAAATGCAACACCAACAACTCGTGTTTACACAGCGCCCGTCACACAGGGCAGCGTTCCAGAGCGCTGGACACAGGCGGAGCACGACACCGAGCCGGGGGGGAGGGGGAGGGGACCGTAGGAGGGAGGGAGGGAGTTCCAGAAGTGTGAAAGGAGTATTGAACAGTTAAGGATGTAAAGAAATCCATTTCTCAGCAGGATTGAAAATGACAGTGAAAGCTCTAGGAGTGAAGGTATTTTTCAAAATAATTTTCTGTTGGATGCCAATAAAATAATATTAATAATTTGGTCATTCAATCCACGGCTGTTTGTGGGACGCTGCTGTGCGCAATTGGCTGCAGTGTTTCACCCACAAAATATATAGTCACTAAACTTTACAGTATATCCTGTGAAGCGCTTTGAGACGTCTAGAAGACGTGAAACACACTATATCAAATACAAGGATTATTATTATTATTGATAATAAAAATGAAAGGCTGATTAAGTTGGAAATCTAAACAAGTGCAAGGTGTATACACAATAACACACCTTTTGTCCTGAATTTCATTTATGAAAAGTGTGTGGGTTTCTAAGCTCTGAATTTACAAATAATTAACTCCGAGCCTCAGACCATTGATCATATCACTGCTGGATAAGAGACTGAGAACAAAAAGAGCATTCTTGTCAGGGCAAACTACAAAGAAACAGCGTTTGAGAAACAGTCATTTTGAAACGAGTCATAAATTGCCTCAGTTACTTATACCACCTGAAAAATAGTGCAACTGCATTCAAAGGCATAAATAATATATAATAATAATCCTTGCATTTGTTACAGTGCCTTATCATGTCTTCTAGATGTCTCAAAGCGCTTTACAGAATATCCTGCAAAGTGAATTGGCTTTATATTTTGTGGGCGAAACGCGGCAGCCAATTGCACGCAGCAGCGTCCCACAAACAGTCGTGGATTGAGTGACCAAATTATTAGTTTTTTTTAAGAGATTATTACTCCCAGAAAATGATCCACCAATCGACTAACAACCAGGTTCCTAGTAGGACCGGAGTAAGCAAACTTGCCTAAGGTTTCACCCTGCCCAGGAATCAAACCCAGGTCCTCTACTTGCGAGGAGAGTGCTCTAACCACAGAGCTACAGGGCTCCATAGTCTAGTGGTTACCTCAGTTGCCATATGAAACGCAGAACATAATTGCTTGACAGATTAAAGGCAAGCCAAACGATACTCTCTATGAAATAGTATAATTCCCATAGAATTCCCAGAGTATCGAGACATTCCTGGTACTGTAATTGGAAAGGGAATATATACTGTATTTAATAAATCACATTCCCTGCAGTCCTACTTAGCTATAACTTTCAGCACTTAAATGTATTAAAGTGGTATGATCAATATTAGATCCTCAGTAATAAACAACAATTGTTCAGGGTAACAAAAAATTAGGGGCGTTCAAGAGAGAATCAAATTAAAACACATTTAAGTCTCTTGGTGATGAGCCAAGCAATTACATTTGTAAAACTTCTATCCTTAACTTAGGGTTAGGGTTAACCCTAACAAAGGGTTAAAGCCCTATATTTTGTGGTTGAAGCCCACAAAATATAGTCAATTCACTTTACAGTCTATCCCTGTGAAGCGCTTTGCGATGTTTCAAAGACATGATAAGGCGCTGTATCAAATGCCAGGATTATTATTATTATAAAATAAATCTGTGGATTTTATCGAACATGTCATTTGTATTTTACATTCTTCTTTTAAAAGTTGATGAAATATTTTCCTTGCAGATGATGAGTCTCTCTCTCTGCACGCTGTGTTGGATGGACTTTGTACATCAGTGTTTGACACCGGGACTTCCCTGCGGCTGTTAGCGATGCACAAGTTTTTTTTGGTGTCTGTTTTCAGCTATTTCACTGTTCATACACGTTTGATAATAATATTAATAATAATAATCGTTGAATTTGATATAGCGCCTTATCAGGCCATTGAGACATCGGAAAGTGCTTCACAGAATATACTGTAAAGTGGAGTGACTGTATAATCTGTGGGCGAAATGCAGCAGTCAATTGCGTACATCGGTTCCCACAAACAGTCGTGGATTGAATGACCAAATTATTATTTTTTTTGAAGGGATTAATTACCCCCAGAGAAGCAATCCATCAATCCACTAGCAAGCGGGTTGCTACTTACTGCTGGTAAACAGAGGCATGTGTGTGGGGTAAGGAAACTTACCTAATGCTTCGTCCTGCCCAGGAATCAAACCCAGGTCCTCTCACTTGCGAGGAGAGTGCTCCAACCACTGAGCTACAGGGCTCCACAAGTGTACAGAAAGTGATCTATTACTACCTGCATTTCCAACTGGCCATTTAGGGCATTAGTGTACATTTGCCGTTTTACACTGTTTTGGTGTGAAAACGATTTTGCATTAATCACCAAGTGGCTCGTAGACAGCAGTATAGCAACTGCTGACATTCAGTTGAAAGTAAGAAGTTTTTTCTTCAATATTAATCTAACTGGTTTGAATCCACTTTGATGGCTCCTCATGCAATGGAATGAAAGGGCTGGTCTAGCACAGCAAATGTTAAACATTCTTCAGCGGATACCTGTCTTAAATCCTGACCCAAAGCCTTCAGGTCTGTGTAACTGTCCATGGGGACACAAGTGTAGATTCTCTCCAGACATTCCTTACTTAGTGGGGTCACCATCAATGGGTCAATAGATTGTTCAATAAGTCCATAGTATCTACAAGACAAATCAAATCATAAAAATTCAAATGACCCTCACTTTCCTTTCTCTTCGTGCCATTCAAATTGGATAATGGTGTATGTTTGTGATCAATATGAAAATTAGGCCAACCAGTAAGTAGTGTAGATAATTGGTAGACTTGCCTTGATTTTTAGCACATTAACCAATGTGATATGATAATAATAATCCTCGCATTTACCTTATCACGTCTTCGAGACATCGCAAAGCACTTCACAGAATATACTTTAAAGTGTAGTAACTGTATATTTTGTGGGAGAAACGTGGCAGCCAATTGCGCACATCAGTGTCGCACAAACAGTCGTGGATTGAGTGACCAATTTTTTTAAAAAGAGATTATTACCCATAGAAGGTGATCCACCAATTAACTAACAAATGGGTTCCTACTTACTGCTAAGTAAACAGAGGCGTGTGGATGAGGAAATTTGCCTAAGGTTTCGCCCTGCCCGGGAATCAAATCTGGGTCCTCTCACTTGCAAGGCGAGTGCTCTAACCACTGAGCTACAGGACTCCATATTCTCAAGAGAAGCGAGCTGGCTAGCAAGAGTGAGTCTGTTTATATTTGGGTTTGTCTGATTACCAAATTTCCTGTCCTCCCTCCAACTCCAGGGAGAACTGTAATTGGATGATAATATAATGCAATTGTTTTACAGAGAGAAGAGCAGCACCTGGCTCAGGATGTGTTAATTCAAGTTAATATATCCAGTGTTTACCTTTGTGCTAAACAAGACTGTACGTGGCTGCAGATATTCAGTGCAGCTCCGAGCACATCTGGTCAGCATTCTGTTGGCTGTTTTGCACAAACAGCATTATTGATGAGCCTAATTTTAGACAGTAGCAGCCCTGACAGCTGTCCACCAGCCCAATTCATTTCAAAGGCAGTTTCACTTCATTTCGCATTGATCACTGAAACTGGAGTGTTCACATTCCATGGCCTGAAAGGCTGGTGGAAGCCGATTCCATAACAGCTTTTGCGACGTAGACTATTATTTGGGGAGGACAAGTTTGCAGGGCTATGGGGAGAGAGTGAGGAAGTGGGGTTGATCAGGACTATGGGGAGAGAGCGGGGGAGTGGGGTTGATCAGGACTATGGGGAGAGAGCGGGGGAGTGGGGTTGATCAGGACTATGGGGAGAGAGCGGGGGAGTGGGGTTGATCAGGACTATGGGGAGAGAGCGGGGGAGTGGGGTTGATCAGGACTATGGGGAGAGAGCGGGGGAGTGGGGTTGATCAGGACTATGGGGAGAGAGCGGGGGAGTGGGGTTGATCAGGACTATGGGGAGAGAATGGGGGAGTGGGGTTGATCAGGGCTATGGGGAGAGCGGGAGAGTGGGGTTGATCAGGGCTATGGGGAGAGAGCGGGGGAGTGGGGTTGATCAGGGCTATGGGGAGAGCGCGGGGAAGTGGGGTTGATCAGGGCTATGGGGAGAGTAGGGGAGTGGGGTTGATCAGGGCTATGGGGAGAGTGGGGAGTGGGGTTGATCAGGGCTATGGGGAGAGAGCGGGGGAATGGGGTTGATCAGGGCTATGGGGAGAGAGCGGGGGAGTGGGGTTGATCAGGGCTATGGGGAGAGTAGGGGAGTGGGGTTGATCAGGGCTATGGGGAGAGTAGGGGAGTGGGGTTGATCAGGGCTATGGGGAGAGAGAGGGGAGTGGGGTTGATCAGGGCTATGGGGAGAGAGAGGGGGAGTGGGGTTGATCAGGGCTATGGGGAGAGAGAGGGGGAGTGGGGTTGATCAGGGCTATGGGGAGAGCGCGGGGAAGTGGGGTTGCTGTTAGCAATTCACCTCGCGTTTCGCCCACAAGATACACAGTCAATTTACTTTACAGTATATCCTGGGAAGTGCTTTGAGACGTCTTGAAGACCTGATAAGGCACTATATTAAATGCAAGGATTATTATTAACATATTTTCACAGCTTCGATTGATGAGCCTGTGAATGCGAAGGATAGTTGAAGAGGTGAAACAGGATTTGGTGTTTCGCTGCTTGTAAATTGCCAGTTAATAATGAGGAGTGTTTTGTATTCCAAGTCTGGAAACCTGCCTGAGCTGGAACTTTCAAATCAATTGGGAAAATTGCATGCAGTGTTAGAGGTTTAATTGGTGTTGGATCAATGATTGACACTGGCTCGTCCAGCAAAGCAAAGGCAGTTCTGTCCCTCATGATGTTTAAGATGCACATTTGTGATGGAAGGTTCTACTTGAGTGAATCTAGTAGCATTTCGCTGGCAGGCTGATGGTAGTATTTTATTCCTTCGATCTTGATCTGCATGTGTCTGTGTATGTGTGTATTATATATTCCAAGCACTTTGTGGGTGAAACACGGCAGCCAATTGCGCATAGCAGTCTCCCACACACAGTCGTAGATTGAGTGCCCAAATTATGATTTTTTATTAAATTTATTTTTGTTTTGAAGGGTTTATTACCCCGGGAGAAGTGATCCACCAATCGCCTAACAAGCGGGTTCCTATTTACTGCTGGTAAACTGGTGTAAAGAAACTTGCCTAAGGTTTTGCTCTGCCCGGGAATGAAACCCGGGTCCTCTTGCTTGCAAGGCGAGCGATCCAACCACTGAGCTACAGGACTCCACAAGCAAGTGGATGTGTGCCAGTCTGCAGGGAAAGTCACAATGGCTTTGCTATCTCCTCCTCCGCCCTCCTTTACCACTCAGCAGGAATACCATTGTTGGCCTTTTACTCCATTAACCTTGCTGTCAGTTTAATTAAATATATTAATCCTAACTCAGAAGCCTTTTATCTCTACATCTCATTGAACTGAATGATGTCCAACCATTCTCTCTAGAAGTCATCAATCTACATGGACCTGGTGATCAGACAGTGTTACTAGACACAATTTGAGTGCAAGAGATTAATGAATAAGATAATGATGTCTTCACTTTGCACTTTGTTGGTGTATTTCCATGGTTTTAGTAATAATTAATGACAGGAGTGAACTGGGTCTTTAGCAACTCAGACCCACGACAGTTTGTGAGACACTGATGTGCACGTTTCACCCACAAAATAAACAACAAAAAATGACATTTACACAGCGCCTTCCATGTCAGGAGTACATCCCAAGGCCCTGGACAGTCAGGGATTTGGACTTTACAGTATATTCTGTTAAGCTCTTTGAGACATCCTGATGACGTGATAAGGCGCTACATAAAATACAAGTATTATTATTATACACCAGAATACGTCACATCAAACCAATACTGTGATACATCTTCCCATCAGGAGATCTGCAAACACTAATGGCTTTCCATTGTTTATCAGTTGTTTTTTGACGTCTTGAAATCGTTCAAACCTTGTTGAACCGACAATTTTCTAGCAGGTGCTCTCAATCTCAACCTTATCAAAATAGTTGTGCAATATTGTTGGGAATAAATTAATATGAGGCATTATCAATGCACACTCATTGGCCCTACTTGTCACTTGTCAATAACCGTACAATTTAAAAACAGAGAACATATTGAAATAAGTCATACACTAATCATAGCAATTTCTGAGGTAATCACATTCTAAATGTTTATGCATTTCTTTTTGACGACTCTTGTTTTCATGAGCAAGAGAAAAGCTGTTACAAACTTGAACATCAGCTGCAGAAAATGAGAACATAAGAATTTGCTGGTGAAAGAAGACCAAGGTCCATCTAGTTCACCTTCCACCATCCTGGCAGTCACTTGACAGTATCCCCTGTATCCCCAGATATTATTTTCTAGCAGAAATCTATCTAATTCGTTCTCGATCAAACAACACTTTCTGGTTCCACCATCTCCCTAGGGAGCCTATTCAATACATGTACTGCTCGTTCACCGAAGAAGTGTTTCTCCCGACGTGAAAGGCATTATACAAATGTAATTTTGTTGTTCTTGTTTCCGCAGATGTGTTCTGAATTTAACTCCCTTCAATTGCAGACCATGTCGTCTGGTTCTACTGTTCAAATTACATTTAAAATATACTCAAGAGAAACCTCAGCCTAAACAGTGAAATAATAGTTATTCCCCAACACAGAATCCTGCAATCACAAATCCATTTCATTTGCGAAAATCTCTTAAATGACCCATTCCATTTGTTTCTTATCTAATACAGAGTTTTATTGCCCTTTACTGTTTGGCTCTATATCCTGCCTCTGATAGTGAGGTAATATTACTCAGAGGACCTTTACGTTGATTATTCCTGTGTATCAGTAAAATGTTCTGGATGGAAGATTTCTGCATTGCCAACATTTTTCCCCATTAGCAGATATCAAGGCAGATTTTTGCCACTAAACATGTAATTTGTTGAGGATTTCATACCTGAGATTTTAATTTATTGATACAACCATCCAGCTGAACATGTTCCCTCCATTAGAAAACAGGCATCAAATCTCAGATGGAGCCGAAGTAATAATAATAATAAACCTTCCATTTGATACAGCGCATTATCAAGTCATTGGGACTTCTCAAAGCGCATCACAGAATCCTTGAGTGTCAAATCCTTGAGTGTCAATGCCTTGGGATGTCCTCCGAACGTGAAAGGCACTATTCAAATGCAAATTGCTATTGTTGTTAAGTGTAGTGACTGTGTATTTTGTGGGCGAAATGTGGCAATCAATTGAATAAATCAGTCTCCCACAAACAGTCATGGATTGAGTGGCCATATGTTTTTCTGAGGGATTATTATTAATATTATTACAATAATCAATGGGGAACAAGAGAGTTACCTATAAAGGAGTGGTTTGCAGGGGTACAGAGAAAGGCAGGTAAATGGGATTCATTGGGTTGTTTGTTCAAAAAGCCAGCACAAACATGATGGGCCAAATGGCTGCCTTCTGTGCTGCAAAGGTACATGTCTATAGTTTAATGGTTTCCCTTCAGTCTATAGAAATGGCTAATTGTCACTGACTAAATGGGAGATGCTTTGAAAACAGCTCAACCTCAAATTTGCTGCATATATTTGATAATTATGTACCTAGATTTGCAAAGGTGCTTCAGAGATTGACATGACCTTTATCAGGCAGAAAAGAAACTTCAGTGAATAGATATTAAAATTCATTACACTGCAAGAGAAATTAATCATTTATAGATGACTTAGCTCGCGAGGTCAAGTTCTAATAGGAGGTGTTTGTTGGTGCTTCCAAAACTACCTATTTCAGTCCCAGTTTCTCTTCCAAGCTGTTCATCAGAGCTAAATATTCTACAAAGTGTGTAGAGAAAGTCTCTCTGGTAAAACCGAGTTTCTCCACAATATAACACACAGGAAATGATTTAGTGAACACACGCTGTTGAAGACAGATGCATCTTGAATAAGCTCCTAACATATTAACTACTAAATTAGTCTTAGAATATACAGTCACTACACTTTACAGCCTATGTTTTCCTAGCAGTAAGTTGGAACCCCGGTTGTTAGTCAATTGCCGGATCGCTTTTCTGGGGGTAATAATCCCTTCAAAATAAAAAATAATTAAAAAAATAATAATTCGATCACTCAATCCACGACTGTTTATGGAACACTGCTGTGCAAAATTGGCTGCCGTGTTTCGCCCACATTTAACACAGTCACTACACTTTACAGTATATTCTGTGAAGCTTTGAGACGTCTCGAAGACATGATGAGGTGCTGTATCAAATGCAAGGATATTATTATTATTATAATGAAGATTAGCTTCTTTTCAAAGCTTTCCTTCACAAAAATCTATTCTTTTGTTGCAGTCAGCAATTAATGCTGATTACATCCACGTAAAAAACAAACCAATTAATGTTGACAAATTAATAAAAAGGCTCAATGCATAACTCAAACAGAATTTATTATGCTATTTGTATCAGGTTCCTACTGCGTTTCAAATTGGAAATACAATAAACACTGAACTCAGGGATTTCAAATACCATATGTCCATCTGGCAAAGCTCAGGGCTATTCACGCTGAGAATTGTGTGCATTTGTCAAACAAGCATATTTTGTCTCTCAAATGGGAAATGGATATGTACTGAAATAGCAAAGTGCTGTTTTACATTAAATCAAGATACTGTCTCAACTGCATTATATATGTACACTGATACTGATACTGACTGATATATCCTGGCATTTGATACAGCGCCTTATCACATCTTTGAGACGTCTCAAAGCGCTTCACGGGATATATTGTAAAATGAATTGACTGTGTATTTTGTGGGCGAAATGCGGCAGCCAACTGTACACAGCAGCGTCCCACAAACAGTTGTTGATTGATTGACCAAATTATTATTATTTTGTAATATTTTTATTTTTAAAGAGATTATTACCCGCAGAAAAGCGATCCTCCAATCAACTAACAACCAGATTTCTACTGACTGCTGGTAAACAGAGGTGTGTGGGGAAGGGGAAACTTGCCTAAGGTTTCGTCCTGCCCGAGAATCAAACCCGGGTCCTCTTATTTGCAAGGTGAGTGCTCTCACCACTGAGCTACAGGACTCCAAATGCAACGCAAGGGAAAATTAAAGATACTTTCATTTTGTCTCCTCCAAGTTTTGAATGTTCTGTAACCATGAGCACATCATTGTTTGAGGAGACTTGGTGGATCCATACCATTAGCTCTGAACAAAGGATATTTTTAGTGGGATATCCAGCAGTGTTTGCTTGTTAGGGCTGAATGAATAGTGTGTTGCTATTTGTCACTTGCAGGCATTAACATTCCAGCTCAAATCTGCACATAAATCAAGGTACTTGCTCCCTGAATAAAAAGGGTTTGCTTAAATCCCCAAAACGACATGGATTAAGGTCACAACAACCATGGCAACCGAGAATAGCTCTTTGCCTTCCTCTGGGACTTGGCAACCAATAAATGGCCACAAATTCTTTTCTATTTTCACCGACATGAAAGCCAAAATTAACCAGATTAGATCACCACATCCAGCACAAGAAAAGTCACTTGCAATCACTTCAGAGAAATAACCCAGGATATTCCTGTAATTAGCACCGTATAAATCCTCTGGTCTCGGACTGTTCATCTCTGATTCCTTCTATTTACGTGACCATATGTAACAAAAATCTGTGGGAGGTCACTTGAGGGTGTGGAAACTGAACCAACTTCCAAAGGAAAACTAAACAAAATTAAAAGCATTTATCTCAACTTGTCTTATTTACCACCTATTCTATATATACTTTGTTCTGCTGTGAAGAGCTTTGAGATGCCGCAACAAGGTGATTAGGCACTTTATTAATGAAAGATTATTAGTAATATTCTTCAAAGTGTGTTCAACACTTGTTATTGTGTTAATAGTATTCAGCTTTCAAATCATCTTGAAATAAAGATTGATTGATGGATTGATTGATTCTTGGGAAAACTAGGATGTGGAATTCTGTTCAACGATGGTTTTGTGGTTGCTGTTCAGAACAAACCATTGTAATGTCAGAGTCTGAAGAGAACAAACAGCAACATGATGGTGAACTGCATTCATCTTCATCCACTACCTTATGGTAACTCTGGGAGTATAGTTTGCACATACTGAAAGATGACACATGAACTCCGACAGGGACTAGAATGGCCCGTTTCTGTGCTGTAACTGTGCTGTGTGTCAATCTATGTACTTTAATAATAATAATCCTGGCATTTGATACAGCGCCTTATCACGCCTTCGAGACGTCTCAAAGTGCTTCACAGGATAGACTGTGAAGTGAATCGACTGTATACTTTAATAACAAAACTCCTAGTTTTTGCAAACTTTAAGTATTTAAAACCTTTTACAATTTAAAAATGTAAGCTAAAAACTTTCTTTAGCTCAACAACTGCACTAATAAATTCACACTAAGCCATTCTTATTCCATCTTAATACTGTAAACCTGGTAAATAAAGCCTTTAAAAGCTTTTTGAGAATATAACATCAGATGTAGGGAAACATCACCAATCCCTGATCTGATCTGAACTCCATTTGTCACACGGTACTAAAAACTGTAACTAATTTATTTGTTGCAGAAATAAAACCTTATATTTTGGGACCTTCACTAAACACGAAATGCTTCTAAAACGAACGATGTGATAAGGCGCTATATCAAATGCATCGATTGTTATTATTACATTAAAGATTCAAGATAATTGGCAAAAGAACCAGAGGGGAGACGTGGAGAATTTTTTTTAACCCAGAGAGGTTTGGATTGTACGGCCTGAAAGCCTGAAAGGCTGGTGGAAGCAGATTCAATAACAACTTTCAAAAGGGAATTAGATAGGTACTTGAAAAGGAAAAAACTTGCAAGGATATGGGGAAAGAGCGGGGGAGGGGGTCTGAGTGGGTGCGAGCCAGCACAGGAAACGATGGGCCAAATGGCCTCCTTCTGTGTTGTAAGATTCTGTGATTCTATTATTGAGGGAATAAATAATGTAATTTAACTAAATCTTATGGTAATAACAGATCCTGGACTATTTATTTACACACTAACTTCACTGCCTTCCCGACGAGCACTAGTCTTTACTACTGTGTTCCTTGGTTCCAGCTGTGACATTAATCTGCTTGACTAAGCTAGTTAGAGGGTAGAGATAGCCCGCTGATCCTGAACTGGGAAACAAGCCCATAGCAAACCAAAGCCCGACTGAAGCTGACGACGCTGACAGCATCAAAGCCACGGATACAATGAGTTTTTTTAAATGTAAAAAAGACAAGATTATCACTTGGGATTTTATCAAAAAAGTTTCTAAAAGACAATCAGATTTTATGCAAATGATTATCGACCACATGTTGTGCTACTCCTAAAGCTGCATTGACACTGCAGGTTTGACGGGGAATAGAGACTATTTTGTCCACAATTGGCTCTAAATGTTCATTGTAGATCAGGGCTGAGGCCACAAGAACAACAACAATAAATTATACAAAATAATAATAATCCTGGCATTTGATACAGCACCTTATCACGTGGTTGAGACGTCTCAAAGCACTTCACAGAATATACTGTAAAGTGAATCGACTGTGTGGGCGAAATGGACATTTTACACTATTATTTTAAGCCATTTCACTGTTAACATTTTACACTATATTATTTCAGCCAATTACGCACAGCAGTGTCCCACAAACAATGGTGGATTGAGTTATTATTTTGTTATTTATTTGGTTTTTTGAAGGGTTATTACCCTCGGAAAAGCCAATCACCTAACAATTGTGTTCTTACTTACTGCTCAGTAAACAGAGGCGTGTGGAGTAAGGAAACTTGCCTAAGATTTCACCCTGCCCGGGAATCAAACCCAGGTCTTTTTGCTTGCAAGGCAAGGGCTCTAACCACTGAGCTACAGGACTCTAATGTGATGTACTAATTGACGGTGTACCTCACTAGCTGGTCCTGTTTGGGGGTCGCTGATCTGGAAAGCCCGTGAGTGGAGTCACTCATTGGGCGGAACACCACACTGAGAGCTGCCTTTGTGGCCTCATCATGTTCTGTATAATCTTCTTCATCTGAATCTGAAGGGACAAAGAGGGAAACTGCAGGTTAGAGAATATAACTGATGAATGTACTGCATCAGCATAGTGTCCGTGGAATCACAGAACCTTACAGCACAGAAGGAGGCCATTCGGGCATTCCGGCCTGGGCCGGGTCTTTGGAAGAGCTACCAACTAGTCCCACTCCCCCCGCTCTTTCCCCATATCCTTGCACACTTTTTCTCTGCAAGTATCTCTCCAATTCCCCTTTGAAAGTTATTATTGAATCTATTTCCACCACCTTTTCAGGCAGTCATTCCAGACCTATTAAGATCAATTGTTAAATCAACTCTAAGTTCCATGAACTCTAAGCAAAAGTACTAATTACAATCGCTGTATTGTAAAAAAAACTCCCTCTGTTTGCTAGGCATTGGGAGGAAATTTTCACAATGTAAATCTTTTCCCTGGAATTTACAGGAACACTCACACTAATGATTAACATACATTTCCACAATATGATTCACATTGAAAAGCAGTAGGAGTGGGATTTTGACCTGATGTTTGAACCGGAGTTGTATTGTACCAGAGTTTTGACACACAGTCAATTCAACCAGAATGAAGAATAAAATCTTCCACGGAATTGCTTGTCTTTTTCTGCCTTGTGAACAGATCAAGTTCCTCTTACAGACACAGTACAATGGGTGTTCCACCCACAAAACAGTCAGTCCACTTCACAGTATATTCTGTCAAGTGCTTTGAAACGTCCTGACACCGTGATAAGGTGTTGTATTAGATATTTACCGAGATAAATAGTTGCCCAATCAGTGTCCTCATCAGCTTCGGTGTCACCAACTTCGGTTTGATAAGCTTCTACACGGGATGAACAACTATGTCTGTCCCGAAGCCCAGCCTCTGAGCTGTTAGTGTGAGTGAGCTCCTTCCTGACTGTGTCGGCGTGAGGCTCACTGACAAGCTCACACTCACTCTCCACATCTCTCATCTGGAAAGACTTTGCCGATCGTCTCTGACAGAAATCTCTCTTATCCTTTAGCTGTGTGACTGCAGCCTCGATAGTTGAACGACCATCTTTCTTCTCCTTGAAATGAAGCCTCTGGATGGGAGGCAAACGGTCCGAGCTTTTCAGCTCAGGATCAAAGGGAACCATTCGAGGAGGAGAGACCAAATATTCGAGCTGGTGTTCGGTTCCCTGAGTGGCTACATTACTGAGACATCCATTGTTGTTCTCCTGACTCCAAGCGGCATAAAGTGCTCCATGGCAACTTGATCTGAAAAATAATAATTACTTTTTAACAAGGGTCGAAACACAGTCACTACACTCTGCAGTGTATCCTGTGAAGCGCTTTGAGACGTCTCAAAGACGTGATAAGGCACTGTGTCAAATTCAAGAGTTGTTATTATTTTAAGAATCCCTAAAAAAATCTTAGTCACTCAAGCCAGGACTGTGTGTGGGACGCTGCTGTGTGCAATTGGCTGCTGCGTTTTGCCCACAAAATACACAGACAATTTACTTTACAGTATATTCTGTGAAGCATCTCAAAGATGTGATAAGGCACTGTATCAAATCCAAGGATTATTATTATTATTAGTTGCTGCTGCTATCCAGCGAGTGGAATCAGGGAGCACTTGTTCAAATTCAAAATAGTCTCAGGAACCTAATATTCCAGAAAAGATTTTCATTCTGAGGCCAACAAAGAAACACGATAGTATCACAAACTGTACTTATTTTCAGAAATTGACTGTTTCTACACACAGAGTAAAATGGCTAAAAGAAAGCTTTGAGATCCTGCCGTCAGTTTCCATGGCAATGTTTCCCTGCGGTTATATTATCACAGGCTGCGTAAGGCACGGCTATCCTTTGTGCTCTAACAGGTTTACACCAACAGCTGCTGATAGGGAGGAAAACCTAAGCAGGTAGGAGCTGTGCGGTAAATCAAAGTCAGGAGCATCTCAGGAAATGAATCTTTCACTTTGGAAACTGGCATAAATAACAATAGTCGTAAGGACAACAACAACATTCCATTTATTGAGCGCCTTTCACGTTGGGAGGACGTCCCAAGGCACTGGACAGTTGGGTCAGGACCCGAGCATTGGGGAGAAATGGTCAGAGGGAGGGAGCGAGGAGGGGGGGAATGGTCAGGGTGAGGGGAGGGAAGGAAGGGAGTGAGGAGGGGGTAGAGAGTCGAGAGCGGAGCTGAAGGCTGAAGGTACGGTCAAAGAGAAAGGGCTTGAGACCGGCCTTGAAGGAGGAAAGGGAGGAAGCGGCGAAGGCACTGGGGCTGGAGTTCCAGAGCCTGGGGGCTGAGAGGCTGAAGGCCACCGATGGTAGGGCGGTTGGGGCGGGGGATTTGGAGCAGACCGGAGCCAGAGGAACGGAGGGTACGGGCAGGTAGGTAGGGGGATAGTAGGTCAGAGAGGTAGGAGGGAGCGAGGCCGTGAATGGCCTTGTAGGTGAGGATGAGGATCTTGAACATAAAAACTTGCTGACAGAAGAAGATCAATGTCCATCCAGTTCACCTCCCACCATCCTGGCCGTCGCTTGACATGTTGTGTCACAAACTATACACTGTATCTCCAGAGATTATTTTCTGTTTGTGGGACGCTGCTGTGTGCAATTGGCTGCCCAGTCAATTCACGTCACAGTATATTCTGTGAAGCTTTGAGACGTCTCAAAGACGTGATAAGGCGCTGTATCAAATGTAAGGATTATTATTATTATTTTTCAGGCCACGCTAACAGTTTGCAAAATGAATGCTATTGACTCAGCCTCAACCACGTAACACAATCTGATCTGACTTTGAATAAATGTGCGATTTTACTTACGCACAAACCACAAACACTTGTCTGAAAAATCCCCACTGAATATTCACCACCATAATAAATCTTCAGTCAGTACATTTACAGCACGCTTCCCACAAACACATGAAACAAACAGCAGTACCTGTCTTCCTGTAATTTCAATCAGACTGTAATAGTCTTGTCTGCCTGTGACCGGCCAGGCTGATAAACTGCTATACAAAACACAGCTCTGCTCTGCAGGAAGCAATTTATTTGTTTCAGAACCATGACCAAAATGTTAACAATTACAGTGCATTTCACTACTTTCCCTTCTCAGCTCTTCCACACTGCAAACAGCTATGATAATAAGTAAATAAATAACAATCCTTGCATTTGATCTTGTCCTGAACAATAGAACCAGACGACACAGCCTGCGATAGAAGAGGGTGAATTCAGAACAAATCTGTGGAAATACTACTTTAGTGAGCGAGTAAATGTATTGAACAGGCTCGCTAGGGAGACAGACAGTGGGAGCAGAAAGTGTTGTTGGTTTCAAGAACAAATTAGATAGATTTCTGCTAGAAAATAATCTCTAGGGATATAGTGTATAGTTTGGGGCACGACATGTCAAGCGACTGCCAGGATGGTGGAAGGTGAACTGGATGGACCTTGGTCTTCTTTCGCCAGAAAATTCTTACGTTCTTATGATATAGCACCTTATCACATCGTCGAGACGTTTCAAAGAGCTTCACAGAATTTACTGTAAAGTGGAGTGACTATGTATTCTGTGGGTGAAACACGGCAGCCAATTGCGCGCAGCAGTGTCCCACATTTTGCGCTGCCCAGATATCAAACCCGGGTCCCCTCGCTTGCGAGGCGAGTGCTCTAACCACTGAGCTACAGGACTCCCATAAAATATTATGATTTTTATAGATTCTCCTTTCAAATGCAGTTGGAGTTCCTGATCTGGTTCTGATCAAATTTAGAAATATGAATGTTGTATCCTCAATCTATCAACTAGAAACAAGTCATTTTAATGTAATTATGAATTCAAAAGTTCAGCAAAATACCCATCCATATAAGAAGAAATCATTCTGTGTCTATTCCTCTCTTCAGTGAGGCAGACAGTGACATCAGTTCACAAAGTCCTGTCTAACTGTCTCTTTAACACAGCGGTGGGTTTGAGAATAATGCTAAAATATATATACTTTAAAAAAGATTTGTGCGTTTTTAGAATTGCCTGCAATTACACCAGACTTCTATCATACATTTGCAAACATTTTCTGGGAAAAATAAAATCACACAGGCATAAAAAAAATGCACAAACGAAACCTAAAAAATCTGGACTCCTTACATTTCCAACGTTAACTATACTCATTAACTAAGCCCTGCACGGCCTGGCTCCTCCCTGCCTCTATAATCTGCTAACTCCATATCAACCTGTCCACTCCCTCCGCTCAGCAGGCTCTGGCCTGCTACACATCCCCCGCTCTGTACGGACCATTATTGGCGGTCAGGCCTTCAGCCTCTCTGCCCCCAGCCTCTGGAACTCCATCCCACAGTCCCTTCACCTCGCTCCCTCACTTGCCTCCGTCAAGGCACTTCTCAAGACCCTCCTCTTCGACCGCGTCTTCAGTCACCCTCCTATCCCCACCCTCCCCGTCCTCCACCCCTCCTGATCCCAACCCCCAGCTCGGGTCCAAATCCCTGACTGTCCAGCGCCTTGGGACGTCCTCCTGACATGAAAGTTTCTGTGTAAATGTCCTGTGTTGTTGTTGTTGTGGTTGGGTAATGCAAACAATGGCTGTCAGTGATTGGATTGTGGTCAGTAATATAATAAAAATAATAATCCTTGTATTTGATTAGCTATTATCTCAGTGTGGCAGTGATGCCTGTTCCTGTTTACACAGATTGAGAGGCACTGAGCCCATCAGCTGGACAGGGACTAACACAGTCTGTTGGTTTCTGGATGATCCCAGGAAAGTTTAGAAAAAACTTCACAAAATTGTTCTGTATAATTAGTCTGGTCAGATTTACATAATTTATACCATGCCATCTGCTAAGGTATTACTTCACTCTATAATATCTCTGCAAAAACACTGAAGAGACACATCTGCCTAATTTCTTACCACTGCTCATCAACACACACAACACATATTAACAGCAACAAAAACAGAGAGCGCGGGAACACTCAGCAGGTCAGGCAGCATCTATGGAGAAAGGAAAGTCCACAACCCTTCGTCATATTAACAGAACAGATTTCAAACTAAGGTATGTTCTCTTTTTAATCCCTTGAAGAAATAAGAATACACACAAGCTATTCATACAAAGGAATGGTTTATATTGCCAATACATTTTTTCTTTGATGAGTTCTAGTTGGCAGCTGTTTGATAAAGAGCTTAGAAAATATTTTCCTCCTTTAAATTTCCAACATAACTGATAAAATGATGACTTTGCAGTATATCCAGTGAAGGGCTTTGAGACGTCTTAAAGAGCTCCAGGACTCTACCCTACTCTACGTGATGGGCGCTATATAAATCTAAGTTGTTGTTGTCTCGAAGACATGATAAGGTGCAATATCAAATGCAAGGGTTATTATTAGTTATTATTATAGTACACTGTTTGTACAAAACCTGTTTGTCTCCACCCCCCTCAGATGAAGATAGATATGACACAGATGAAGACAACGCATGTAAAATATCTTTCACAAAAAAAACATTAAAAAGCAATGATAGAGATCACTTCTATGCACAGCACCAAAGTGGAGCTGAATTTAGAATTAACGAGAGGTATCAATGATAACTACATATAAACAGATGGGATTGCCTGAAGTCTTCAAGACTAATCCCATCAAGGCAAGATGAAGAGATGTGAAAGGGCTCCAGTGGGACAGAGGATGAGAGCTTTTCCGAAGAGCATCCATTGCCTCAGGCTAGAGACAGCACACACAGAAAGTTGTTACTCAACATAGTGAACAATTAATGGAATAAAAAGCATGTTAATGTCCAACACAGCAGCTTGCATTTCTGTACACAGAACAAGGAGCTCATTTGTGGCAGCTATGTTTGGCTGCTTCATGTCTGTAACCAAAGGAGCAGAAGTAGGAAATGTAATAACAAATAATCCTTGCATTTGATACAGTGCCTTATTAGGTCTTCGTGAAACACCCACAACATCTATAATGATATTCATCATATTACCATGAGGTGTATAAATGGTTAACAAGACATTTCCTCTTCAGTTATAATACACCAGACAAAATGTGGTCACTCAATACACGACTGTGTGTGGGACGCTGCTGTGTGCAATTGGCTGCCGCGTTTTGCCCACAAACCATAGTCACTATACTTTGCAGTATATTACGTGAAGCGCTTTGAGACGTCTCAAACAACAACAACAACAACAACAAGATTCCATTTATAAAGCGCCTTTCACGTCAGGAGGACGTCCCAAGGCGCTGCACAGTTGGGTCATGACCCGAGCAGGGGGGAAATGGTCAGGGTGAGGGGAGGGAAGGGAGGGAGCGAGGAGGGGGGAAATGGTGAGGGGAGGGAAGGGAGGGAGCAAGGAGGGGGGAAATGGTCAGGGTGAGGGGAGGGAAGGGAAGGAGCGAGGAGGGGGAAGAGAGTCGAGAGGGGAGCTGAAGGCACGGTCAAAAACATGATAAGGCGTTATATCAATTGTAACGATTATTATTATTATAATCTTTTGTTGTAAAAGGTTATTGATAAATTATAGCACCGTGAACTCTGTTCCTAACATTCAAGGATTATTATTTTGTTATCATTTCTGCCGCCAATATATTTCAATTGAATATTCTGCTTGAACAAAAGTACTGAACATGTAAGTTCACTTGTTCATTCATCTCCTGCAAGCAGTAGCATAATATGGTCCCTAGATTAATTGTGCAATGGTGGCCCCCAATATGTGCACATCAATTGCAATCCATAAATGCTAAGCAATTTTATCCATTCCGTTAGTAGTTACTGAAAATCAACACAATTTCTGACTTTAAATTGCCAACTCGGTCTCATACGCTCCCATTTGAAAGCACATCACAGAGGGGAAAAGTGGAAAGAATTTATTGGGTGTCAGATTGAGAAAGCATCACCGTTATCTTTAGCACATTAATTGGTTGAATAATTGGGAGACACTGCAGGCTGACATTTTCAGTTTGAATTCATCTATTAGTTTTGTCACATTTACCATGAGCAAGTCTACGTTAACACAATCAGCCCCATCATTATACTGGGAATTGCTGTAATTATGTTCCTATCCAAAGGTATTCACAACACATGTTAGTCATTGCAAGGATTCTGTAAAGACTTGATTCTTTCTTCATTTATTTTATCCAGTAAATGTGGTAATGTGGTCACAGCATCCAGAATTCAGAAGCAGTAAGGATATCTACTGTTCGTGGGACACTGCTGTGCGCAATTGGCTGCCGCATTTCGCCCACAAACCATAAAGTCAATTCACTTTACAGTATATTCTGTGAAGCGCTTTGAGACGTCTCGAAGACGTGATGAGGACCTATATAAAATGCAAGGATTATTATTATTATTAAGCACTACGAGCAACTTTAAAGATCTCTTTGGGGCCGAGCATTGAAGGAAGATTACAAAACCTAAACCAACAAAACAGTCTGGCTCAGGATCTAGACTAACAAGACAAGCTTCTGTGTTGGACATTAACACAGAAAACATTTCATAGGCTTTTTGTTTCATTCAATGGCTTTGTTTCCTTCCAAACAAAATATCAACATCCAGGAGTACTCACTTCTTCCTGGACAAGGTGTGTCTGTAGTCTCTGCTCTGGAGGAGTTTGTGTGGAGATGGAGGTTTGAGGGAGAACGAGAGTTCCTGATCTTCTACCCACTGCTGCTCAACTTCTTCTTCATGAGAAAACATAACAAAACAAGAAATATCATCAAAATTACAGACTACAGTAAACCTGTCTGTATACATCGCACAATTGGCAAAGTCGTACATCTGCCCAAGTCCCATGTGGGAAGCTGCTGTGCGCAATTGGCTGCCGTGTTTCGCCTAGGAATATGCAGTTGATTATATGAAGCGCTTTGAGATGTCTCGAAGATGTGATCAGGCGCTATATCAAATGCAAGGATTATTATTATGATAAGACGGGCGTCTGACACATTTGGAAACCCATCACCATTGCTTAAGTGTCTCCAAACCAAGCTGAAAATTCCGCCCATTTTCCAACTACAGATGGAAATCCCAGAGAGAGATTGTTGGAATGGAATGCGCTCTCTCTCTCTCTCTCCCTGGAGGGACGCCCACGGCTTACCTAATTCCGGAGAGTATTAGGCGCAGGTTGGCAGGAGCCAAGGCTTGGGGGGAGCCCAGAGTGTGTGTTGGGGTAACTGCTGGAGTTTGACCAGGTAAACACATAGCTTGCCATTGATATTGATATTTTTTGGCTAATTTTATTGCTATATTAAAAGGCGTTAATAAAGCTTACCAGTGGAGTTGAAGAGCTTGTAGATGGAATAGGCTGAGTAATGGCGGGCAGCAGGACTGTAGTTGTTGCCTATGGAATCACTGCAACAACAGAAGAGCTAAGTCAATCTCTCACCCTGCCAAAAGGTGTCTGTCAGCCTGACTCCTCCTCAACCCCTCATCCCCTTCACCCCCGAGTCTGAAGCTGGGGGTTCAAGCCTAACTACATTGGCAATTTCAGCTCAGACTTGGCCTAAAAAAATACACAGTCATTACACGTAATGGTATATGCTGTTAAGTGCTTTGAGATGTCCTTCTGACTTGAAAGATATAATATAATACATATCTCTATGTCATCATTATCATTATTATGAGATAGTCTATTTTAAACCCTGACTGGCTGCTTTCCTACTCCAGTAGCACAGAAACCATCAGCTTTTATTCTCTGCAATACTGGAAAGGTTTCATACAATATGAACATGATAATATACACATTACAGTTACTGAGCAGAACTCGCATTGAAATGAGTGACCAAGTCGCCCTTGTTCTTTTGCCGGAAATTTCCGCGGATCTAGTCTGAAGCGGCAGCAAGATTCTATGTCTTAGAATAACAATAATATAATCCTTGCAATTGATACAGCGCCTTATCACGTCTTCAAGATGTTTCAAAGCACTTCATAGAATATACTGTGAAGTGTAATGACTGTATATTTTGTGGGTGATTGCGCACAGCAGCGTCCCACAAGCATTCATGGATTGAGTGACCAAATGTATTTATTTATTTTTAAATTTGAAGGGATTATTACACCCGGAAAGTGATCCGTGAATCAATTAACAACCGTGTTCCTACTTACTGCTCCATGATAAGGCATTATATCAAATCTAGTATTATTATTATTATTATTATTATTATTATTATAAATAAAGCTATATTAAATACACGGATTATTATTATTATGAGTAACACTACATGAAATACAAGGATTATTGTTATTATAAATAACACTATATTAACTACAAGGATTATTATTATTATTATATTCCTTCGACCCAAAGGAAATATTTTCATTATCCAAGTTTGCAGTTGCAACAAGCAGCTGTGTTGTCAGCAACCAACGGAAATTAAACTCAATGATGTGGATAACAAGGCACACTATGAGGTGCCCACAATACTAGTTACATCTGGTTACTCAACCCTCTCCTTAAAACATGAAATGATTGTTCACATTTCAGCATGGAGTTATTCAGGTGTACCACCTTAACTCAGGAAAGTTAAACATAATCTAAATGTTGCTCCTGTGCTTGATCCATGGACTCATTGAGTCCTGTAGCTCAGTGGTTAGAGCATTCGTCTCGCACGCGAGAAGACCTGTGTTTGATTCCCAGGCAGCGCGAAACCTTAGGCAAGTTCTGACTTCTTGTTTTGACGTCACTTCACCAAGCCGTGTAATTGACACTCTGCGCCTTGACAATGCAGGTTATCACGTTTACATTATAATAATAATCCTTGCATTTGATAGAGGGCCTTATCAGGTCATTGTGACGTCTCAAAGTGAAACAGAGCAGCCAATTGCACACAGCAGTGTCCAACAAACAGTCATGGATTGAGTGATCAAATTATTTTTTTAAAAAAGGGATTATTATCCCCGGAAAAGTGATCCACCAACCGACTAACAACCAGGTTCCCATTTACTGCTGAGTTAAAGGATGTGGAGTAAGGAAACTTGCCTAAGGTTTCTCCCTGCCCGGGAATATCGAACCCGGGTCCTTTCGCTTGTGAAGCGAGGGCTCTAACCACTGAGCTACAGGACTCCACGTAGCACGGCTTCTGTTATATTGTAAATCACTACACGTAGAATCAGGGCTGCAATCCTGAGCTAACAATCCTGTCACGTTTGCTCTCCTGACGTCACAGAGCAGTTTGCTGGCACTAATGTCAATGGTGGTCGAGCATTCAGGGAAGCTGTTCGAGTGCTAATGGTAACCATAGTGAAAGGTCTTTGAGAAAACTCACAGTGAGAGAATACAAATCACTGAACTGGCTTTCCCCGTCCGAGTGAGAATAGTTTATGGACAGACACCTACATAGGAACAGGAGGAGGCCATTCAGCCCCTCGCGCCTGTTCCTGTTCTATTCTATTATATTCTAATAATCTCTTCAAATAAAAATAAACAAACAAACAAATAAATAAATAATTTGGTTCCTCAATCCACGACTGTTTGTGGGACGCTGCTGTGCGCAATTGGCTGCTGAAATTTGCCCACAAACATAGTCAATTCACTTTACAGAACATCCTGTGAAGCGCTTTGAGACGTCTGGAATATGTGAAAAGGAGCTGCATCAAATACAAGGTGACGAGGTGGTTGACTTGGAGGCTGGGAGATTAGCAGTGAAGTTAAGTGTGAAATATTGGAGGCAGATAGCAAGTGCTGAGGGAGAGACAAGCAGAACAAAGTAGTGGTTAGTGTGAGGGCAAAGAATGAGCTACACAGGGAGAGAGAGAGAGAGAGAGAGACTCTGCCATCTGTGCGGCTTCAGTATCTGTGGACGGCGATGGTGTGGTTGGCCGGGCGGGGGACGTGGGAGGGTCGGAGCCCGCTGAGTGGAGAGACCGGACAAGTCTGTATGGCAAGAGAGGGAGATCAAGGGCAAGATGCTAAACTAATGTAATGGACAGTTTGATGCTGTGGTGTGGGGTTGGGTGGGATAAGTATGAGATCAAATGGACCTTCTTCACTTGAACCTCTTGAATGCAGCGAGCTCCATCGCTGTGATGCTGCATGTGAGGATTTCTCCGGCAGTAATATCCCAGAGCCACCGGTAATGGCCTGGTCACAACTCTCAGAACAATTAATTTTAAAATTCTAATTTCCTTCCCTCCGGCTAATAAAGTTTCTGGTTTCAGACTCTGTGAGACCAGGGATTAGATCATACCTAGCTGACTCATTCCTTGCTGTCCATTATTCCAAATATTGTTGAGTTAGATTCTCTCAGATATTTTAATATATGCCTGCACTCTGAAACATTAATTAGAAAATTCCTATTTTATCCTCTCGTCCTAGCATTCTCTCTCTCTCTCTGGTGTATGACTTTCTCTACATGCTGGGATTAGATTATATCCAGCTGCTTCATTCCTCCCTGTCCTTTATTTCTGTCCTGTAGCTCAGAGGTTAGAGCACTCGCCTGACAAGCGAGAGGACCTGAGTTTGATTCTTGGCGAAACCTTCAGCAGGTTTCCTTACCCCACACGCCTCTGTTTACCCAGCAGTAAGTAGGAACCCGGTTGTTTGTTGATTGGCGGATCACTTTTCTGGGAGTAATAATCCCTTCAAAAAAATAAATAATAATAATAATTTGGTCATTCAAACCACGACTGCTCGTGGGCACTGCTGTGCGCAATTGACTGCCGCATTTTACCCTCCAAATATTGTGGATGAAATCCCTTGCCTGGGAATCGACCCCGGGTCTTCTCGCTTGTGATGCTCTAACCACTGACCTACAGGATTCCGCATGCAGCTCATCATGTAACATATAGCATCCTCGGAGGAGCACACATCATATTTTTCCCCTAAAATGAACAGGATAAATTGGCTGCTGGGCTGCTCTCTATGAAGGCATCATTTCAGCAGCTCAACCTGTTCGACTTGAAGGTGAGGTGGCCACACGGCAGCTCAGGGCTTACTCTAATCACAGGCTTTTGTACACAGTATTTTGTCACAAAATGGACACGTTCAGCTTCCTTTGTCTTGTGCCTGATCCATCCTGGATGTTTTATTCATAAAGCAAGCAACTTTGGGACGGGCAAAGAAGCTCCCACTGTGAACTAGAGGCTGTCTGTTTTTATGCGGTACAGTCTATATATTGCTAATTGCCGCCTGTCTCGATCTTATACTTCGGTTGTGCACAGTGAGCTATTTTCAGTGTCTTTCAGACGCCTCTATCTGTCTAATTCAATGATTGCATTTCAGTTGATGATTATCACGAACATAAATGACTTAAATATTTATTCATAATAAATATGATTATTATTTATTCACAGGACCCAGTAAACTTATGGAACTAAGTTAATGATCACTGGACATGCATTAAATATATGCCGTAAGTTCATCAAGAGAACATGGCAGCGGGAAATGGAACTTGCATTAAACCGCCTGCAACGTTAGAGTAACAGCAATTAACAGGTGTCACTGTCTGACCTGACTCCTCGGAAGAATTTTTCCTCTTTACACGGAGCTGCTTGAGTCCATGCTCCTTGCTGCACAATTTTGGGGTTCTGACAGTCAGAAGCCTGTAGAGGACACAGCAACAAGAGAGATTTTTTACACGTCAGAACAACAACTCGCAGTTACACAGCACCCTCACACAGGGCAGCGTCCCGGAGCACCGAGCCGGGGGGAAATGACCGTAGCCATGGTCAAAGAGGAAGATCTTTAGTCGTAAGGAGGGGGCGAGGCGGAGGGATTGGGGAAGAGAGTTCCAAAGCTTCGGGACACAGTGGCTGGAGCAGAGAGGACGAGGGACAACAGGAGGTCAGAGCCAGCCGATCGGAGTGAACGACAAGATTTCCTCCGTATTTATTCACCAGGAGTCCAGCTTTTATGTGGCATGTTTATATATACAGTGAGAATCTTACAGAACACGAACAGAGGCGATGTGACTGTGTTTTGTACTGTACAGAGCAACATCCCTAAATGTATAGCAGTAGCTGTCATTGTTAATGCTCCTTACCATTTGGTCCAGGAGCAAACAGTGGGAGAATGTGTGAGTGTGAGTGTGTGTAAGTATGTGCGAGTGTGTGCGAGTGTGAGTGCTCGACACTGAAGCACAGTTTAAGTGCAAGAGATTTGCCTGGTTTTATTCTATATAATGATAATAATCCTTGCAATTGATACAGCGCCTTATCACGTCTTCGAGACTTCTCAGAATATACTGTAAAGTGAATTGACTGTATATTTTGCAGGAGAAACGCAGCCAATTCCCACAAACAGTCGTGGATTGAGTGACCAAACGATTATTAGTATTTTTTCCAAGGGATTTTTACCTCCGGAATGTTATCCGCCAACCGACTAATAACCAGGTTCCTACTTACTGCTGGTAAACAGAGGAGTGTGGAGTAAGGAAACTTGCCTAAGATTTCTCCCTGCCCGGGAATCAAACCCAGGTCCTCTCGTTTGCGAGGCGAGTGCTCTAACCACTGAGCTACAGGACTCCACAATACAATGGCCCTGCATGTGCCTTTGCTGCAGCAGGGCGAACACTGTTTGATGTATATATTTATTGTGTGTGCTAATTGTGTTTGGTCTGCGTTATGCTGAATTTCAACTTGATTTATTGTGGCAGCAATAAATAATAGCATTGCCAATATTAAAGCCAGTGGAAATACTGTATTACTTAGGCAGCATGTTGTCAACAGCACAGCACAAGATACTTCCTACTCCATTCCCAGTAATATATTTATTGGTCTCACAGCCCACACTGGCTGAAAGCAGGAGAGCAAACAATTGCACCACATACCACTAACTGGCTCCAACCGTGCGTGAGGAAGACTTTTAAGCAACTTATTTTTTGTCCTGTTTGCAATCAATAACACTCTGAGATACGCGGATTTGATAAATCTGCACTTAAAATTGTTATTTTTCATTACATTACACAACAGATTTTAATTTAATAATAATAATCCTTACAGTTGATATAGCGCCTTATCAAGTCTTTGCGAAGTCTCAAAGCACTTCACAGAATATACTGTAAAGTGTAGTGACTGTATATTTTGTGGGCGAAACACGGCAGCCAATTGCGTACAGCAGTGAGTGTCCCACAAACAGTCGTGGATTGAGTGACCAAATTATTATCATTACTTATTATTATTTTTGAAGGGATTATTACCCCAGGAAAGTGATCACCAATTGACTAACAAGTGGGTTCCTACTGACTGCTGGTAAACACGAGCGTGTGGAATAAGGGACCACGTTCACTTTACACTAACCATAAGCTTCAGTTGATACAAACTCGACCAGCTGCGTTCTTACCCACACCAAACGCTGCCCGTCACCCTACACACTCGTTGCCAGACTGCACTGGCCCCCAACAGATTTACGTCAAGGGCCTTGCTCTCGACTGAAAAATCTTTTTATTGTGAGGGTCTTCTCCTTTGCTCGACTCTTCTGGACAGTCAGGGATATGGACCCGAGCTGGGGGTTGGGATCAGGAGGGGTGGGGGGGGGCAAGGTAGGAGTAGGAGGGTGACCAAAGGTTCGGTCAAAGGGGAGGGTCTTGAGACGGGCCTTGAAGGAGGGGGCGAGGTGAAGGGACTGTGGGATGGAGTTTTAAAGGGCGGGGGCAGAGAGGCTGAAGGACTGACCACCAAAGGTGGGGTGGGCCGAGGGGAACGTGGAGCAGGCCAGAGCCTGCTGAGTGGAGTGGCGGAGATGGACAGGTTGATATACACTGCCTGCAAGACATCAGATTCATTTCTTCCAACTCACATTTTGTCAAACTCAAGACAGCTCAAAGTTAGATTGTCTGTTGTTCAATCCAGCAACAGAAACACTGTCCTTTCATCCAATCAGCCCCCCACTGAGCCTGGATAATAATAATCATTGCATTTGATATAGTGCTTTTCACGTCTTCTCGACGTCTCAAAGAGCTTCACAGAATATGCTGTAAAGTGAATTGACCGTATATTTGTGGGCGAAACGCGGCAGCCAATTGCACACAGCAGTGTCCCACAAACAGTCGTGGATTGAAAATGACCAATTTATTATTGTTTTGTTTTGGAGGGATTATTATTAGGCTCTGTGTGGAGTAAGGAAACTTGCCCAAGGTTTCGCCCTCTGCCTGGAATTGAACCCAGGTGTCTCGCTTGCAAAGCGAGTGCTCTAACCACTGAGCTACAGGATTCTGCTGCACTGTATTTAACTCAAACTCCTAACCAAAATGTGACAATAGAAAGCTTTCTCATTTATTGTTTGTTTAGTTGTGGGAAAGAGAGAAATTGAATTCTGCGGAAACACTACCTCAGTGAGACAGCTGTACAATTAGGGAACTGGCTAAGCAGAAAGTGTCGATTCTTTCAAAAGTGAATGAGACAATTTCTTTTAGGAAATAATATTTCAGTATATGGTATATAGTTTGGGCCATGACATGTGCAAGCGACTGCCAGGATGGTGGAAGGTAAACTGGATGGCCCTTGGTCTTCTTCCGTCTAGCAATTCTTATGTTCTTATGTCTTGTGTGGAGTCCTGTAGCTCAATGGTTGGAGCACCTGCCTCGAAAGCAAGAGGACCTGGACTCAATCCCCAGCAGGGCGAAATGTTAGGCAATGTTCCTTACTTCACACGCCTCTGTTCAAGCGCTCTGAGACACTACCCTGCATGAAGGGCGCTATATAAGTGCAAGTTGTTGTTGTTTGCCTAGCAGTAAGTAATTATACAGTGAAATATACAGTCAATAGACAGCCACAAATATACAATTCACTTTACAGTGTATTCTGTGAAACGCATTGAGACGTCTCGAAGAAGTGAAAAAGCGTTATATCAAATGCAAGGATTATTATTATATATTATAAGTAGGAACCTGGTTGTTAGTTGATTGGTAGATCACTTAGGGGAATAATAAATCCTTCAAAAAAGGTTTTAAATAATAATGATTCGGTCACTTAACCCACGACTGTTTGTGGGACGCTGCTGTGCGCAATTGGCTGCCTTGTGTTACCCACAAAATATACAGTCAATTCACTTTACGATATATCCTGTGAAGCGCTTTGAGACGTCTCGAAGATGTGATAAGGCGCTGTATCATATGCAAGGATTATTATTACTATAACTAACAAAACCAGTGATAAGAATTGCCCTGAAGCCAGGACCAGATGGTGTCCATTTATCCTCTCACCAGGAAAGCAATTAGCACCAGATAATCAGCTGCAAACTCACTGGTAAATATTCCAGCCTAGGGGGGCAAAGTGACTCAGACTGTAACTCACTGGCCACTGATTTTTGCCAATTACCATATAAATCAAGTGCACACAACAGATCTTCACATCTTCAATGCTGCTGTTCTCAGTACCTTGTTGATGATGTGACAGACACAGACCTAATTCAATCCATCAGTAGGATCCGTTTCACAATTTTGAATGTTTCTTGGTATAAATCTATACAAATGTCAAGCTTGAATATCGACCTGTCCGTTGCCTCTGCTCAGCATGCTCCAGCCTACCCCACATCCCCCGCCCACCCCACCAGTGACGGTTGGGCTTTCAGGCTCTCTGACCCCACTCTCTGGAACTCCATCCCATAATCCCTTCACCTCCCCCCTTCCCTTGCCTCCTTCTGTGAAGCGCTTTGAGACATCTCGAAAACTTGATCAGGCTGTATATCAAATGCAAATTATTATTATTATATTATTATTGTGGAGTCCTGTAGCTCAGTGGTTAGAGCACTCGCTTTGCAAGTGAGAGACCGGGGTTCAATTCCAGGCAGAGGGCGAAACCTTGAGCAAGTTTCCTTACTCCACACAGTAATAATCCCTCCAAAACAATAAACAATAATAAATTGGTCATTTTCAATCCATGACTGTTTGTGGGACACTGCTGTGTGCAATTGGCTGCTGCGTTCGCCCACAACTATACAGTCAATTCACTTTACAGTATATTCTATGAAGCGCTTTGGGACGTGAAAAGCGCTATATCAAATGCAAGGATTATTATTATTATTATCTATTCTGTATCAATGGGAAGCAGAATCTAACTGGCTAGATTGTACACAAATCTGCTTTATGCATTTTAACACACCGCGTACTTGGGATACAATAATATGCTTCCAATGTCACCACTTGTACATCTCTTGGGATAATCGTTTAACACTACAGCTGTCAACTGTAATCAATAGTCATCCTGCAGTTTAAACAGCCATTGTCAGTGAGAGTTTACAGGCCTCTCTCATCACATTCACTGAATGCCTTTCGTAGCTTGATTTCAACCAGTCTCCTCTTCCACAGATAGCAATAGCCTTCAACCTTCAGCAGGAAGCAATGCACTAATTTGGGATTGTAGATTGTATTTTCTAGTTAGAAACAAAAGGTAATGGAAGCGCAGAATGAAATAGTAAACAGGTTTACCTAATCCTGCGAGCTGGCTGGGTATCTGTTTACAGGGCATGTTTTAACAAGACATCCCTAATGGTGGGCAATATGGGTTCCCCATAAATAATAAGCCATTGTTCAACCACAATCAACAGTGTGTTAGTGTTTCCATTAGTAACCCACAGGACAACAAAGCTCGCTACCATTTACACT